ATACTCGAGAATGGGAAGTACAAACATACGATAAAGCCTTAATTTAATTTCAGGAAGATATAAATTGTAAGAAATAAAGCCACTTATATGGGCAGCTTTGGCTTTAATTCTGGCAGCGTGCGGCGAGAGATCAAGATTACCAATGTAGCTTAAACCTAAATCCTTGATGGTGGTACATTCAGTCAGAGGTGTGCCTTGAAAGACCACTGGTTGGGGTAGCCTATCAGGTCCAAAACCCATATAAGGACATTTAGACGGAGAGAATTCCATTGGCCATTTTGAGCTCCAAGCTGAGAGAGCAAGCAAGTCAGCATGGATTTGCTCCAGGCAATGAAAGCTCGTAGATTTTTTGAAAGAATATACACATTTGAGATCATCGGCATAAATAAAAGATTGTGAATGTTTAACTGCTGCTGAAATATCATTTATGTAAAGCAAGAACAAAAGAGGACCTAAACGGTGCCTTTTAGGACACCACTTACAATAGGGCTTTCACTGGAAAGTGAAGATCCCACCACAACCTTTTGTTTACGATTAGACAGGAATGACTTGGTAAAGTCTATTAGTGGACTCTGAATTCCCAGAGCTTATAATTTAACTAAGAGTCTTTTATGTGGCACTTTATTAAAGGCTTTACTAAGATCAAAATAAATAACGACAACAGATAGGTGATCATTACGAATAGAGGTAAGTAGATTGAGAAACGACAGATGACATGTTTCACAAGAGCGATCTGGTAAAAAACCATTCTGGGAAGGGCTTATAACTTGATTGGCTATGCAAAATTCGGTAATTTTTAATGCGATAATTTTTTCAAAGATTTTGGCGAGAGAGGGTGTTTTATGGACACCTCGATAGTTCTGTACGTCAGAACGACAGCCACGCTTAAATACTGGAATAATTATACAGGATTTCCAATAGTCAGGAAAGAAGCCATTTACGAAGAATACTGAAAAGAGTTTGACAAGCAAAGGAGGAAAATCCCGTAGCTGTTTTATAAGAGAGTTTGGGATATTGTCCATGCCTAATAAGTGAGAGTTAGGAAGATGGTTTATCAGTTTTTGAATAGTTTCAGGAGAAAAATTAATGAAGCTGAGACATGCATCAGACAACGGTGGAACTAAAGAGATTGGGTCAGTTTCGATGGTGAAATGTTTGGCAAAGAACGAATTTAAAATTTCTGCTTTGCCTGACACCTCTGTAAAGAAGGCATCGTTGGAAGTAAGCAAAGGCGGAATGAATTGGTGGGACTTAGTTGACGATCTTTGACGGAAGATCTGAGCTACTGATTTAGAAGCATTCACGTCACTAATAGCTAAAGACTCTCTATGCCTATCTCGCGCGAGCCTCGTTTTCGAAGCTTATTCAATTATTTCGATAATTCTTAGATGAACTGATAATAAACTCATAGAAGGATCTTTAATCTGCTTCCGAAGCTTTTTAAGTCTGTTTTAAAGAAAGTGTGGGACAGAGGTGGAAGTGGTACTCGATTTGAACGTCTTCCGTGAAATTAGGTCGAGAGGACCTTTTGTTACGTATTGTAATAAAATGTTGAAAAATGTAGATCGTTATTTGAAAAAAATATTGTGCCAATCAAGAGTGCTTGTAAAGTTATTAACTAATCGCTTGTTAATATTAGCAAAGCCAAAAATGCTGCGTTGTACTGTTGGCTTTGCGGAAATGGCAACTGGAAGGCGACAATGAATTAATGCCTGATCACTTGCGAAAAGGTCATTCTAGAAATCCATAGATAGAGGGGAGGTGCCATTAGTGTAAATAAAGTCTAATACACTATCATTTCCGGTCGAAGAGTGGACTAATTGAGACGGGTTTCCAAAATAAATGGTGTCAAGAAACTTCTGGAATTTAGGAGAGGAAGTATGTGTGTGCCAGTCAATTTCTGGCAAATTAAAATTGCCTACGATGATCTTGACTTCGAAAGATGTTCCTGCAATTTTTTCAAAGAGTTCAGAGAGTTGGCTTTCATTTCCGAAGTAACACGGAGGATTATATAAACATTGGACTAAGGCTTTCCTATTTTTTGGAAGTATTATCGAAGCGAAACATAAATTTCCAGAGATGGAGGAAATGTTCAGGTCATAAGGCGACTGTGCAAGTGAGGCTCTGATGTAAAGAATGCAACCACCGCCGTGTCTTTCGACACGATCCTGACGGTATAAACTAGGAATAACAACATTAAGTGCCGAGCCTGAAATTAGAGAGTGAGCCCAAGATTCATTAATGCACAACACATCCGGGTCAAACTCAACAGCCACACTTCTTAGTTGTGCCATCTTTTGCACGACTGATCTTGCGTTGAGAGAGACAATACTGAGCGAATTCCTAATGTATAGGTTCCGCTCATTTCTACTTATAAAAAAGGGAGAGCTGGTGGTGGAAAATTAAGCTGTTGGGACAAAGCAATCGGTGAAAGACAAAGTTGCTGTGATCTAAAATTTGTAGGGTAATTACCACTAACTAGAGATGTAACATTGTATGGAAAAATATTTGAGAAGGACCCTGGACGAGGAAAGCTATTCTTCTGGGTTGGAAAAATAGGAGGCATGACAATAGGAATTTGTGAACTGTTTGCATAATATGAGGGGTAGTTTATGTCAGGTAGCGGAAGTAAAGGTTTTAAGAAACAGTTTACTTGCATTTTGCAGGCTGGTGTGCAAGTCGGCTTCACAACAGAGGTATTTACATTATGTTGAGAATTCTGGATAGGAACAGGTAAAGATCTCCCTGAATTATCATCTGGCTTATTTGATCTAACCGCAAAGTCAGACCTGAGTGGCCAGGCGTGTGAACGGAATGGACTCGATTTAGGCTACGTAACTAGTTTATTATTCTGAGTCCTAGGGGTCAGTTGTGGTTCTAGGATTGGCTCATCTTTACTGTTAAGATCAAGCTCCCTCGTACAGATGGGAGCCGAGTTTGAGCAACCCTTGCTTCTTGGGGGCGTTTTAACGAGGCTGGCTTCAACTGACTCAGTGACAATGTGCTCAGTTGAAGAGCTAGATGGGACTGGAGTCACTGCAGCTAAGAGGGAGGTTTGGTTGACGCCAATGGAGAATCTGTTTTAGGGGCAAACGACCGATGATTTGTATTCCGGAGTGGCTATACGTTTGTTAATGGGGGAGAAACCCTTCGTCGCAGTGGAGTTTTATCCCGACTTATAAAGTTTTTTTTCCCTGAGATATTAAGATGAGAGCCCCAATTGGAAGAAAATAAAGTCTACTTCTATGGACGAAAATAGTTTGACAAGAATTTGTGGATTTTTTCTCCGAGATGAAAGTCTTTTAGCTTCAGCGACTCAAAAGTTAAAGTCGTATGAATAAAGGAAGTGGAAAACGACATCAATTTACTGTCTTCTCTTAGGAAAATTTTTAAAATAAAGTTAAAACTTCGTTTGTGCCTGTCTTCTGTCTCACTAGCAACCAGGTCATTGAGAGCATGAGCTTCTCGCACTGCTGAAACGTGAGTGTTGGCAACTTTCCTTCCAGAAAGGCACCAAGAACAGAAAAAAAACTGATCTGTAACGAGACATAAAATTGTTAAAATTATCAAGTGCCCTTAGGTCTATTTTCTTCATATGTACAATGGGTTTTAATTGGATTTTAGTATCCTTCAGATTTCGACGAAGAGTTGCCTGAAGTTTCGTGTTGAAAAAGCAAAACAAGACTTTAGTCCAAAAGTTTATAGTGATGATTGCCGCCGAAACATCAAGGAGATATGAATGAGGCTATGTATGATGAAGCATTTTCTGAAGGCTATCAATATTGGTGGGTCAGACAGCACAATAGGTACTAAGCAATTTTAACGTAATAACGGAATACAAACTTGAAAAAGGACGGGTAAATGACAATAAGGTACTTTTGAATCAAGTAATCCACCTAGTCTGCTGCTACATATGGAATCCACCAAATCTGATGCAGTAAGCTGAGTGCCGAATCAGAATTTTATGATTTGTCCGATTATCATCCGCCAGATTACTACCAGGTTCAAGTAACAAATGGGTTTTAAGGCAGACTTCAGATAATGCAATTTAAGCCGACTGCGAAAACCTCGCGCTCTTGGTGAGATTGGAACTCACAGCAGCAAGAGGAATGCTTTATTACAATCAACGCTCTAGTCACATGGCCCACGAGGCCCCACCGGCAGCCGTGAGCTGAACCATATTTGGGTGAAGTTACCTGCACAAGCTACTGTGGAGTCCATTCGTAAGATCGTCAGATTCTTCACAGTGACTTCAGACTAAAGGAAAATAAACGGGTTCAAAAAGTCAATATACTGGAGCAATAAATACCAGTTTTACTAAGACACCAGCTTAAAAAATCAATTTACGCGAAATCCGTTTAAGGAGACGTTTAATCATGTGCCCATTGTCCAGCAAATTCTACTCGGAATACCGGGCTGATTTTGAAAATCACAAGGCATCTCTAATTGTTCCTGTGAACAAAGTGTTTTCCCGAAGTAAATACTTATTGGACTCCCCTAATAAAACGGCAAACAAAATAGGCTCGAAGATAATTTCAGCAAGCTTTCGTTACGGCACATGGTTTCTGTCCCACTATAAGCATATAAGGTTCCCGAAAAATTTTTGCCAGTTAAACGTTTTAAATTCCTTAAGACGATTCCTATACCAACAGCTTGTTTTCGGCGAAATATTTCCCAATGAGCAACGCCTTCTCACGGACAATACGTAACTATGAAGCTATCGGCGCGAGAAACTTTAATCTCCTAAAAATAATAACTGATGAACGCTGGCCGTGTTAGATGTCTGTTTGCCTCTAGGAACAACATTAGTAACTTTACCCGCACCAATACTTTAAATCCAATGTTTCCGAGATGAACTCTTAGGCCATTAAACAATTTTGACCAATAAACGTTCAGTCGAATTTGCGCGGGCACTATAGCTTTGTGTTCGGGATGTGCTTATCATCTAAAGTTTTTGTCCTATCTTATGAATCTAAACACAAGATTTTCTTAAAAAGGCAATGAATAACTATACACTATTGTTAATTTTGGTATTCGTCGGAGCTGAGGATTGTAAGACACCCTCAAGATGTTCACTAATGACCCAATTTGTTCAGATTTTATGCTTATGGAATTTCACGAATTCTGCATGCGTCCACCAAACAATGGTTTTTATAAGGTCTTAAATTCGGACGATCTTCTGCTTCACAACCAAATTGTTCTTTACTGGAATTCTTCATCCACGCGCAACTTTGCTCCGTCATCACATCGAGCGACTACGCACTCGCCTTCCGTATGTCCGGGAGTTACTATACGACCGGCCGGTCGATACGTCAGGAGATTTCTCTCTGATGGCGCCGTATGTCATCTGAATGAAGTTCTTTTTGGCGCTAAGCCCCTTTTTATATTTGGGTTTCCTATTATAAATAATTTTTTCCGTAGTTGTTTCTGATACAATTGTGCATAACTCGAGTTATGCACAATCATGGAGATCTCCATGATTGGCTCAGTCATGATTGCAGCAACTTTTTTTGCCAGTTATTTGTCTTGAGTCGATAGTTTCCTTTTGTATCATGGCTCGTTTCTGACCCCGGTACGTCCCCTGTAACAGTCCTGCCTAGCACTAATTTCTAAACCCCTTTGTCGGCATACACTGAAGATGCCGCGGCTGCTGGACCACAGATTTGGAAATTGGAAATTTTCTGACAAGAATAGGTTGATTCGAAATTACTCTAATTTAATTGACGGGCCACTTCTCTGCAGTGACTAATAAACACTTTTTTCAAGCAGATAGAAGGGATAACAGCCTGACCCATCAAACCTGTGTCAGCACCAGCGTCATTTCCTCGGATTTTCCAAAATGCGTTTATAGAATTACGAGTGTATGAACTACATGCGTTTCTTGTTTAATTTGCAGCGGATGAGGATACGTTGGAGGGAGCTCCAAAGCTAGTCTGTCCAGTCCAGTGATTTGTTAGTTTGTCTGGGACATTATTAGAACTGCACTATCTCATTCTAACAACGTTATACTTAAAAACGGCTGGCGATCAAGACGACCCCGTTATAACTGGTCGAACCACTTGTTACTTTCTAATCTAAGGTATTCATCCTTTAAACCTCATATTCAGGATGTAACCCTAAGATGGAATATTTCAGTCGCCCTTATAGAAAATGTTTAGCTATGCGCCTGCCTATATTCCCTTTTCCCACCCTTTACATGCCAAAGTCTTTGTCTAGTGAGACCAGATGTATTTTACTCTGAGTAGGCTCAAACGAACCTGAGGCTCTGCTGTTTTGGTGAAGACATTTGCATTGAGCAAGCCTCTGGAGTGACTGTTAACACCGTATTTATTTGATCGAGGACTAAGCATCTGACTGGTTGATTGTAAACAAAATGCTAACCTGTGTAGTAGTCTTTGAATATCGGTGTTTCCTTGTCCTTTACTGCCAAAATTTGTAGCTATGCTGATGTATACAAACGTTCTTGAAGCGCATTCCTTAGAGACTCCTAGAAAATGTATACGCTGGCATCGGGAAATTTTATTTCTTTCGGGGAGCACTTAAATCGCGGAATTGATTGTATAGCTTCTTAGAAACAGCACTTCGCTTTGTCTGAGTACTGCCAAATTTCATCCAAACTTCTTTAGCCCCAGTTTGCTTGAGCAGTTCTTGTTCAAGCATTATGTGAGAAAACAGTAAATCAAAATTGCTAGTGGTTTATTGAAGCTAATATATGACAATCTCACTAGTAAATGCAACCAATTTGGACACTTGACGAGTTGCGATTTCGTCCACTAAGACTAAAATAAGTGTAAGGTTGACCGAACAAACCTTGTCGCTTCCTGTCTTCACGCGTAAAATTTTAAGTTGTATACTAATTACTTCGGCTGAATGGCTGCGCAATGTTCGCAAACGTGGTTGGACAGTAAATGGCGTGCTGAATTTACGTATGATTAGGTTAGTTGCGCTCTCAATATGAGCACCATATTAAGCTTATCCCTTGTTAGGTAGAGGGCGTGGACGTACGTTTTTATAACATCTTTTCTTGTGACGTTTCAGATGAGAAGGCCCGTCAATAAATACAATCCATAGAACGCGATGAACTGTCTATCAATAACTAGTCTTATCTACTTCCATTGGCTCTGTACGACTACGAGCGTGATTTTGGAATGCAAGGAAAGCATACCTATTCCACACTTGGTCTTTGGTAATTAAGTTATTTGTCATTAACGCCCACAAAAAGCGATTCCCTAAGCAACGACAGGTTTTGTTTTTAAGCCAGGACCAAGATAATAGAGAGTAGGCTAAATGACAGATTCGGCATCAGGACACCGCGTCCTGCATGCGTTTAGACTGTTATTGGTTCAGTTTTATCTCTCGCTACAAAAAAAGGTTTTCGACTGCGTGAGTTCACTATTTCGTACAGCCTATTTTAACTGTCTTCACTGAGGAAATCACAGATTCTCCTTTTGCTTAAGAACACAATTCTTCATACTCAAATAGTCGCTCGTGGTAGGTCGGTTATTTTGCAGACCCTGTTGGCGTGGCTGCGGGACTTCCAAGCTCGGGTATCTGGCACGAAATCAGAAGGTCGGCTGTTTGATCCCGGTTAATTGTTAATCGTGTCCAATTTTTGTGTTCGCAAGAAAAATACTCAGTACCTACGAGGAAGCATTAGTCCTTTTGACGGAGCGCACTTCGCCTTTTTGCTTCCCTTCCAACCCGTACGCTTTCAGCTTCAATGAATCAGTATTTTAACTAACTGTAGGAGCAAACCTTTTCGAGTCGTATAAGTACCTCAGTCTCATCTCGAGCCATAAAAGCACGGAATACTAACGTCTTTCCACACATCCTGCTACAGACACCTACATTTTGAGCCGTATTAGGAAGCTGAGCAAAGAATCGACCGAAGCTCGCCGCTTCTTCCACACCAAAACAGCAGAATTTCTCAGCTTGCTTTTATTTTTATGCAAGTTAATCCTTCTCTACATTATGTCGGGGACGTTTTGTTTATAATAGGCATAACTGTCATTTACTGTCTTCACTCTTGTACTGGAGGCTGATGCCACGTTATTTCTGCCAACATACCTGTAGGTCTATTTCTGGCTTCTACACGCCCGAGCTACCATCACCTGCCCTTCCAACCAGCCTGCACCCGCACCAGAGGAATTCCAGGTCACCTTTGAGCAGTGGCTCGACTCCTCCACGCCCGGCTCCAAGAGTGTCGAAACGGAAGAGGCCTATGACAGAGGCGACTCCTTTTACCTACCTGGCCACAAAGTGAGTTAATTTTTGACTTTTGATCAAAAATCATCATAAGTGTAGTTCACTTCCTCACTCTAAAGGAAGTTGTCATCTCAAATGCCTGGGGCTTTTGCGTTTTTACCTATCTATCTTCTTTCTTTAATGACGAGCGGGCAAAATGCGTCCCCTGCCCTTCCACATAATTCCCTAGTCTTTATTTGTACTTCAGCCTCCAAGGAAGCGATTTTCGATACCACTGTTTGAAAAAGCTGAATTTGTGCTGGAGGAGAGTTAATTTTCAAAAAAGATCTATTCAAATTGTGCCGCTAGATTGCTTCCTCAAACGGTTGGGTTTCCGCTAACTTGTATGGTGCTCCTTTCATATGAATAAAGAAATTGTGCAGTCGGTCGGTCACTGGCGAAGTCAGTTATTTTTTTCTACTTTCGTATCATATATCCCAGTAGGGCGTACAATTGTCCGCCATAAAACGGGCTTCAGGGGGCATTTTCGCCTTCGGTACATTTCGTATCGTAAGGCAGCAGATGTAAATCTCAACGTGCCTAATTCGACTGAAATAGGGACTTCAGCTCATATATAGAATGCGCATTAATTATAAAGTCCATAACCACCGAAATGCTCTCTGTCAACGTCGACAGTTGGACCGTGCCAGGCTACGAACTCCACCAGGGCTCCATGAGGTGGGACTTGTGTGTTATTTTCTATGGTAGGTCAAATTTTCGCTGTATCTATTTCTCACTGTCCTCTAGCACTATCTACCTTCTTCAAATGACAAAAAAACGTCAAGACGGTTGTAGGTTGGTGTGGGTGCATCGCCTGACAAGACTAAACGACCCGTATGCGCGGCGTGGTCTCTAACTCAGGGCCAACGTAGTTCTTGGATCTTGCATAAATGAGACTGCCATACATACCACATTAAGAGGGAGTTGTTGAGGCTACAATATCAGTTCTGAATAGGAGTGATTTGTAATTATGCCCTACGACAGGAGAGGAGTAACGCGTTTTCTTCAGTTCTTTTCTGAGGGAAATGACTGACCCTAGGGGTTCAACAAAGATCTCGCCTCCATAAAAATAACGACCAATTGGAAATCACTATTAGGTCATTGTGTGCCTTATACAGGAAACTTCTCCAGTTCGGCCAGGTGCCAACGCCTGGGTCAGCTGGATTTCAATCACTGTATAGTTCTAGAAAACCCAGTTTTGTTCTGCCCAACACATGCTTTCGACCGACACTAACATGCCCATTTGAGGAGAATACCCCTTCTCATTATGCAAGGCAAACAATGTTAGATTCATGCATGAGTGGTGTTCAGGGTTGAATACGGTACATTCGGTCTACTTTGTACCCAGCTCTGCCCCACAAAAGGCGTTTATGTGTCCAATGTCCAACAAGTCCGTTGCAGAACCGAGCTTCTCTTCTGCTTTAGATGGAAATCAGAGACTCACGTGCTTCTTTAAGTTGCTGTGGAATACTATTCACCAGAAAAAAGAACACGCGGTCACCGGAACAGCAGTTATAATAGGCCGAGCTTTTGGACTGGTACGGAAGCCTATCTTCGGGACATATAAAAGGATAATAAAGCATGAACAGTTTTTTTTAGTCTGGCAACACCGGCATGGAGAGAGGAGGGGGGAAGCTATGTCTTTGAGTGGGGCTGGAGTCACGCTACCTGTCGGCCGTGTTCTCATCGCTCCATCTGGCCACATGAGCATAACACGTGATAACGGCGGCGGGGGGGGGGTATATCAATGTGTTTATTTATAGAGTTGCCGTCAGAGATCCGGGCCTTCGACAACTCCCGCCCCCTTTTTACTACTGCTCCGCGCTATTATTCGCGTGCCGGCGAGGCTGCGTTTGTGGTCTTTCTCCAAGGTGAGGGTAGCAAACTGGGACAGCGAGTCGCCTCTCACGGCTTGAGTACTGGCTCTGAAAAATGTCAATGACTTCACAATACTTTCTCTAAAATAATTCCGATAGACTATTCTTGCAGACATTGAAGCCGTTTGAGCAGTTGGAAAACTAGCAGCCTGGGGTGGGATGTGAACGTTGCCACGCCTATTCCATCTTCTTATGAGAGTGAATCCGAAATTCCCTCGACGTGCAAATTGGAGTAATTTAGCAAAATGCATGCCTGTCTCGCCGCGAACATACTGCTCTGTTATCCCCCCCCTCCCCGTTAAATTCATAAGACGCCCCTTAACTGTCCTTGAGAGTTAAAGAAGACCAAGATTGGTAGTTGCCGCGGCAACCGTTTTCAGTCCTCCTTACGTAGCTATAAGATTTTAATTGGACATGCAGGCCGCGAGGTGCGGTGTGGCATCAGGCAGGGCGTCACGCGCTCGACACACAATGCCGTGCTGCAATTGGCTGGGTTCTAGGCCAATCTGGACCCGACTTTGCATCGCCACTCTTGCGTCTGGAGACGCTTTGGCCCAGGCCCTAGCCGACGGTGAGCAGAAATGTGGAAGAGGGTGGGCGAACAGGTTAAGCCCCTTTCGGCACGTTTGCATTCTTAATGCAGTGCCCCCTTCCACAGGAATGCACTGCAAAACCTCGTCTCGTCTCGTTGGGTCTGGGCTTTTTGCAGAGTGGGATGACACAGTCGCGGCTTACCACAGCAATAGGGAATGAGGCATGGCAGACCGTGTCTGGCCATCTGACTTTTGCGCGCCGGTGCAAGATGGAGGGATTTCAGCAAGACATACGCTTGGGGGCCGAATTTCTTGATAAGCAGAAAAATCGGTAGAACGCATAGTGAGGTGGCTATGTTTAACTCACCTTCACGGCTTTCTGAACCCTGTGTAGGAAATTGGAAGTGGAATCCCTAACTTGGCCCTCGTACAGGTCGCCGCGGGCTAGATTCGTGATGTCTAGTGGTGGGGGTACCTTAGTGTTTTTTGTTTCTTATTCTTCTGTTGCTAAGACGAGCAAAACAGCGCGATAGAATTCGGAGATCTAGATGATAAAAAAAACCCAGGTACTGGTGTGCCAAACATACTGTCACCTGAATTCACGAAGCAAATCTGCCGCTTACAGAGAATTTTGTCTCACTTCATTGACTTCGTAAATCTGGTGTCAGGGCATGATGACCTCCACAAATAAGCAGCCCTGAACCATGGACCGTCAAGTGGTTGGCCTTACCAAGTTTGGACAAGTAGGCTGCACGACATAGCTACTCATTGTTAACCACAAAAGACATTACTTGTCAGATTTGATTTCAACTCCCTGCAAAATAAGCCGGAGCATTGGATGGGGGCTTTCTTTTAACTAGCGAGCCAAGCAGCTCCCGTCTAGCTTTCTGCATCAAACATCTCCCAGCCACCTCGAGTTTCTTTTGACGAAGATTTTGTTCTCCATGCTCCCGCGCAACCGATAGAATGGGCAGCACTAGTCCTCTGCCATGGACATTTGGTAGGCAATCCGAATGCTCTGAGAAGCTGACCACCTCTGGTATTGAATGCTTGAAATTGGAAAAGAACAGCGACCCTAGGGCGCGGAAGTTGCCAGTACGTGGTCTTAATGCGCTGTGGATGCCCGCACTGGCGTGCGAGAGGTCAAGTTCTCCTGTATCATCCCTTACATCTTCCTCTACTAGAGCTGTCTATGCGAAACCCCAGGTAGGCTGGGTATGGCGGTCGTCAGTTAATGATCTGTTTCTACGCATCAGATAGTCAATGAGCGGCAAGCATCCGTGCAACTCACACGACACCTTGTTACCCTCTCTGCCGTATATATCTACCTTCTCGCATTCACTGATTACCAAGGCTATAAGAGCGTCTTCTGACGAGCTCATTTTTGTCGGCGACAGAACGTACTTGGTGGAGTCATGCGGTCGTTGAAAGGACCACATTATTGACTTTCTTGACCTTGGTATACGCCCGAAAGCAGCGAAACAAAGCCGATGTTAGCCGACGGAAACCGTCTGTCGAGTCAGTTTAACATTACTGCCGATATCCACTATGCATGCTTTTGCACCCAGGCAGTTTGATTGCATCCAAAGAACCCGGGGATTCTGTCATCTCGGATGCTTGAGGCGGGTTGGATTATTCATGCTTGTAGTGTCAACGCCCTTGAGGCAACTTACGTCTTTATTCCTGCAAACCCGAAAACTCGGCCCATAACGCCGCCTCGAAAGCCCCTTGTCCGGCGCCTTGGGATCGTGAGGTTACGACGGCTTAGCTCACTTTTGGCTCTGTAAACTGAGACGCTGTCCCAGTGTGCAACCTGAATCAAGACCGACAGCGTTTCTAGTAGTATTTCTCGATATTATCAACCAGCACTGAAATGATTGAACTGACGTTGGAACCCTATGGATGTCTCTTTAGACAGCTAAAACTACAGCCCATAATTAGGTTTTCTAACGTCTGACCCGTGGGGAGATGCTAAACATCCGCAGACTAAACTACGACCCATTGAGGTTCGCCGACATTGGCATTCCGCTGCCCCCGGTGCGTGACGTACTATAGCGGCCTAGGACGTCAAGGGTAGCACACACCAAATGGGCGAAGCATTGGGAAGAGGTCCTGACTAGCGTCGATCTGAATAGGGTTGTTAGTAAGTCGTGATACTCATCCGCACGTAAGGGAAGAAGGAACGTCAAGAAGGCGATAAGGTATAATGGACAGAGACGGGGATTGGAAATGCGTATAATAATAGTTAATCATACATGCAGAATGAGTTACAACAGTGGAGTCACCTGTCGGGCTGGGGAGGCGATACCGGTATGCCAGCTAATTAACCGGCGGGGAACGCAGCGCTGTGGGCAACTGTAGGGGAGGGCCGAGCGAGGTGCCGACGTAGAGACAGAGAGAGAGCGATGCGAGCGTCGCGGTAAGTTGTGGGAAGGGGAGTTGGCGGAAGTGAAGGGAAGGGACACCGACCATCTTCACCAGCACGCAGTTACGCCATCACCATCCTAGTTCTGCGCGCCAAAAAGTGTTTCTCCATTCAAACAACCCTATCGAGATCGTGGGGCATTACAGTACATCACCAAGCAGTAAGAGGCGAGCTTTTATTTACCGACTAAGTCCCCGTCTATCACTGACACATCTTCCGGAGAAAAGATGAAACATGAAAGCTAGCCGGGCGCAAGTCTCGATAGCACTGCCTCGAGGACTCCTGATGAAGACATTCTCAGACCTGCGTGTCTCACAAAGGAGGCCTGATTCAGTGGCTTGTGTTAGGGGATTTCACCCACAGGGAGAGTTAGCTAGCTTGTCTACTCGCTGCCGTCAATGCACCAGGGCGTGTTGAAGGCCAGCTTTCAGAAGATTTTGACGGTGCCGCCTACAGCTTACTCATACAGGCTGGCCAGCCCTGCGTTTCCTGAAAAAAGCGGCACACCCAGGGCGCCATTGTTTTCGTCCATGGTGCTTCATGCACTCAGATATCCGTTTCGTCGGCCTGCCGTATTGTATCCTTCATCCCTGAAATGGTCGACCAAAGCGTCTAAACCGCGTCATTTCCCCTATGTTGTATCCCCTGGACTTTTTACAAATTAAGCCTTGTCTTTCGATATCTTGGCGTCATCTAATCTTTCCTGGTCTCTTCACGCTTAGTCATCTTTAAGTAGGCATAGGAAAATAATGTATTACGTTGGGCTTCAAATTGTGATCTTCTGCTGCTTCGCCGTTGATGTGTCATTTTGTTGATTCCTGCCTTCTACCTGCCTGCCTTTTACTGTTCTCCCATGATGTTCTAGTTTTTTTAAAAAAAGATGATATATGTATACCTAAGCGCGCGAGGAGGGCTGTTTCGCTTGCCCTTACTCACCAGTGATCAAGCGGTGAGGTTGAAAGCAATTGCTGGCGTTGTGCAAGGCTCCTTTCACGTGTTGCACACGCACGCGACAGTTCAATCATCGTTTCCGACGATGTTCGCCGTGTGTTCCGCGGCATGACGGGTGCAGGGGCGGTGACTTGCGCTGTATATACAGCATCCTCTCCTACATCACCCACCTGGTTCAAGACAAAGTTAAAAAGGCCGGAAGCAAGACTGGGCGCAAGTCGCTGGCGCCTAAGTGTACCACGACAGCTCCTTCCCTTGTATGACATTTGTTATGGGTGCGCAGCCTAATAACAAGTGCCAGGCCTTGATCTCCCCTCCGCGTTGGTTCAGCACAACTCACGCGTGGCCCCTTGTAGGGGCCAAGCTACTTGCACATGCGACAGATCAACCGTCGCGCTCGACGGTGTCCACCCTGAGCTCCACAGTAAGGTGAAACAGGCGCAAATACCCTCACCTGGTTTAGCCCGCCGGTCGAGGCGGTCACGGGGGGTGTGGTCGCTAGACAGAGCCTAGCTTCGAGGAGCCAGATGTGAGAGTTGGGTGCCAGTTGCTGGACGCTGGGCGTAGTCAACAATTGCAAGCAAGTGAGCGACCTACGAAGACCTCCATGTGGACCCACAACTGGCCCCCTCTAAAGCCCGCTCACAAGACGCACGACAGCTCGACCAACGCCATCCACGAACCAGTGTTAGTCGCCTTTGGCTCAGCGCAGAAAGGGCCTTTTGCGGGTGGGGAGGGGGGAGTACTTATAAGTCAGTCCAACCCCCAGCTTGCTCGAACTTTGCTAGTATTTAGGCGGTTTTGATTACAAGACGTCTGGACATTTCAGCTTGTCCAATCACCCCTCTCACGGATTCGTAATCAGAACTGAATCACGTTCAATTCGTGCTTTTGAACCTTGCGGGGCCTTTTAACAAACGCGTTTTTTCACTCCCCTTCCTCTAAGCACCACCACTTTAACACGGAAAGAAAGACCGAGTTCACTTTGACAATTACTCCATAAATACCCAGAATTCTGGATGCCATTAAGAACATGGATTCTTTAGGCAAGAAAGAATAAATTGTCGGAATGTTCATTTCTTCATGTACCCCGCCCACGCTTTAGTTGCCGACAAGTCAGATGTTTTGGGACATCAGGGCACTTCAGAGAGCCGGCACGAGAAGGCCGACTTTGTTGTTGTAAAAGGCGGTCGCCACGCGCCTACCCGACGCGTGGTGGCTGCGCCTTAATCCCTAAAAGTAACCTCTCGTTGTGGGTGATCGGTGTGTTTTTAATTTACGACTTATGGGTCATGCGAGTTCCGGATTACCTGTTTTTCTACCGCATGCTAATTACAAGGTCAACGATGCGAGATGATGGTGGGGGAGGGGGGGGGGGAGCAGCGGTGTAGCTTCACTTAGCTTCCTGTAATCCCTTTCGTTGGAGTTATGAGGTCAAGTTCCACTGGAATTCGCAGGTAGTAAATATCAGTGTTTGGCCATCTTCGTTCCCTGCGTGCGCATTTTCGTGCTACTGCTCCCGGCTGCTGGTCAGGGTTATGATTGGTTGAATGAAAGCAGAATAAGCCCGAAACAGTACTGTATCAATCCACCCGCATCCTCTATCGTACCTCCTTGCCGCTATTATGACTTGGCCGACTTCTGCCTGATAGTTGGTTGCCTGTTCGTGATCTTTGCCACCCATACAGAGCTTACTTGCTTCGGAAAACCCATGGATTGGCGTGCGTCTGTTCCTGCCCGAATAAATACCCGATCTGCAGCGACAGAGGATGACATGTGGCGAGGCACTAATGAACGTCGCCTCGATGAAGTGCTTATGACCTGTCTGTGGACCATCGGCACCGTGTACGAGCGCATGCTTATGTTTCTGGTCCCAACTGGCGGTCGAGTTATCAATGACTAAGTGGAGGCAGAGTAGGCCCGAGGAGAGGAGGGTGGCCGATCAGTGCGAATGAGGGCGGCTGGATTAGTGGTCGTTGATGTGGAATGGGGTCAGGGGTTAGTGCGCCGGTGTTGGGAGTTTCGAAAGAGGCCTGAAAGCGTGTGCTATGCCAGTATCGGCAAACCATGGTACTCATAGCCTAGTATGCACTGGCAGTTCCCTGACACCTGGTTCCCTGCCGGTAGACGCGCTTGCGCTGCCGCTGGGTATACAAGTGGTGAGCGTGGCTGCCCAGTCATCCTCTTCTTTCTAACCCCTGTTGGGGTGTTGTTGTTGGCCAAAATCCTGGGCAAGTGTTTGTTGTGGATCAAGGGGTGTGGTGGCACGCCTACGTGCGGGTCCGGCAGTGTAAACCACCTGCGCCCTCCCCCGCCTCCGGTCCTCTTGACCTATGTCTTGGCACCGGGCCAGGTGGGGAAGAGGAGGGGGAGCGAGTGCGGTAGATGCTGCGTAAGCCTACCCTTATTATAAACTAACTCACACGCAAGTCATCGTGCCTGCTCTATCTTGCTGTGGAGCACAGAGTGAACATTTTCGGCCACGACGGTCGAACTGTCATTCGTTGTTCAGCTCAATTGTGGTCATCGTTTAGCAGTCGGGCTCATTTCCTTGACCTCCAGCATTGGGATTACAGAGATCTCATAAAAGCGGGGTCTTATCCTTAGTCTGGATGCGGAAGACTCGCACGTCCGTGAGTAGCAAAAAATGAATGTAAAGCACAAAAGTCATCGGGTCTTACGAATAAGCAGTCGGCGGCCAAACAGTGGTAATGCTTCAAGACGTGGCTGATTTCCAAACCGGCAAGCCAAATGCCTGTAAACATGTCACAAGCTGCAGCGCATGACAAGTGTTGTCACTTACCGACCAAGACTTTGTGCCGCTGTTTAAGACACCCTAAAACTCTTAAACTGATGTACCAAATGGGGCGGACGGAGGCATCTACCGTCGAATCCAGGACTTGGAGGAAATTATGTCTCCTGCACCGCAAAAATGTAAAATTAAGCCTGAAAGCAGCGTACAGCTTTCCTACGCATTCCATCTTCAGAGTCTCCGAATATGAACGCGCTTTTAGTATCAGAACGCGAACAGATTACTGTTACGGAAAATCGACGTGGCTTGTTCAATAACGGTGTCGCTTAGTCTAACAAATAAAGTCATTTTCAATTTACGTAAGACGTGGTAGGCTACCAGTCAGAAAAAGGTCACAAAACGAAAAGCCAGCCCATGTATCTGGAGTTACAGGGACTATGAAATAGTCCATGTCCGTCAGTATGCCAACACAGAGTACTAGATGGGGATGTTGAAAATGGAGCTTCAGCTGGGAAGACGAACCGGCCCGTTGGCCTAACTATTGGTTATGGAATGCGTTCTAGGGTAGGGGATGGTGAAAAGTTCAGCAATAAGGATTGCCTGTGACGTTACGCCTCGTAAGCAGTGCCGTCGGGGCTCCGATAGATATTGGGGCGGACTGCAGCCGAAATTTAGTACGTACGTGACAAAAAAGCCATGTGACTTACCAGCGATGGTATTCCATCCCATCTAGCAACCTATGTCCAGGCATCGAAGTCCGAAGCCCATCTGAAACCACCTCACTGGTTCGGTCAGTCATTGAGATGTGATATTGCTGAGCGCACTCTGGCATTGTCTGAGGCGGGTTAACAAGTCGGGAACGTTTCCCACTTTAGCTGTTGTCGTTGCTAACTTGGAAACGCCTGAAGCAGACAGTGACTGATAAGCTTGCCAAGCGTAGCACGCACTGCAATCGTTACATGAAAGTATTAGACTTATGAGTTGGTGTTGGTTCGTCTTTACTGAGATCTCTCTCAACCAATCTTCCTTACTTGGTCCGACTGGGTGATTTATTTTAATTGAAACAACAAATTGCATAATCAAAGTGCGCCATTGTTGCCTAAAAATATGCGACGAATTAGCAGAACTTGTGAAGGCTTTCTCAAGCGCCTACAGAGAAGGACGTCTTGACCAGCAATTTACTTTACAACCTTTTGTCTGCAGCCGCAAATGTATGCTTATCGACATGGGGATAGCTTTTCGCAAAGCTTCCTCGATCCCTGCTTTCCTGCGTATTGCGCATCGTCCGAGGTCCATTGGTCGCGTACTTTATCGATTTCACCTACCCTGGGCACTGCGTTTTCGCCACGTTTCTTGCTCAAGTGTCTTCCATCCTCGCCCCTCCTCCTCCTCCTCCTCAACCCTGTGGTAGTTACGGCGAAGAGCTTTGTAGGACCGCTGTCTCCAGACGCCCGGAACAGGTGGGAGCGGAGGCACTACCCAGGGGCGAGGTGGGGTGGGGATGGGTGTGGGTTAACTTTACTCTGCACACGCGAGGCATCTGTGCCCAGGTCGTGCCCTCAAGCCCGAGGTAGGCTTAGACGCCAGTCAGCTAACAGCCTCTCCCCTTCGTTTACTCCTGTGCGCTTCTTTCAACACCCTCTATGTGGTTGACGAAAAAGCCCCGCCGGTAGCGGTGACTTGACGGCAATTTATTGCCGTTTCCGCTTCTAACAAATAACCTAAATTGTCTGCTCATTTCTCACTAACTTCCGCTATCAGCATAGCGCGCGAAGCACTGGGATATAGCGGGGGGGAGGGGGAGGGGGCGAGGGGGAACGCACGCTATCGAGGTTGGTTGTGTATGCACACACTCGACCAGTCCAGATAAGCCTGCAGGCGATGGTCGAGATTAAACCTCTAATGCGACAGATAACGACGTCGATGGGTTAGGAGTGTGGATAAGGGAATTGGCGACGGTAAGTACCAGTCCTCACCTCGGCTGTACAAGAGGGGATAATCTCTCCAACGGAGGAAAAGAGAGAGGCTGATTGTCTGAGCTTTCCACTCACACAGATCAAAGGTACGCTCCGTCACGCAATCGCAAGACCACCTGTTTTTGGCTAAAATTCCGGAAATGTGCGTAAACCAATCCGGTTTTTTTGTTAGAGAGTAAAGCCTGATGAATTTTTGCGCGAGCAGGGTTTTATCACCCAGTAGTTTATTATATTGTCATTTAATAAGGAGGGTAAAACGATTGCTGTCTCACAATTGGAAGGCCACTTAATGTGCCACTGAGGATATGACCTGATGTTGGTGTCGAGTTTTACTCAGGCTGTGGTGCCTGTCAGCATTGTAATGACAACCCTGTGAGTAGCGCTCGCAGATGGATCTGTTTTCAAAATTGACGACCTTTAGTCACTTTTCGGTGTTTACGAATGTCAAGGGGGGGGGGGGGAGCAAATGGTTGATTTTACGCGAGGCGAATGTTCGGCGTTGCGTGCAATTGGTCGTAACAGTAGACAAATGGAATGACGTCTGAAGAGATCAAAAAGCTCGGTGAATAATTGTAAGAAGATACAGAACAGAAGGAAGAGCAGCTATAAAAGTCCGTACCGAAGGAGCATTACGCGCGGGAGGTAGTGGCGCGCGCATTGTCGAGCGAGCTTTTGGCGCTGGAATTTTTAACGACTAGAATCCAAAATTCATAACAGGTCGCGGGATCGAGCCCCAGGTGGTCCACCCTTCGGGGTTGGAAATAACTGGCTGACGACGGCTAATAAGCCAGAAATGGCCATTCCAGTCTCCCTTGTCTTTTTCGGTTATACCATTCTGCCCATATCATGCACAACGGGACGAGTGAGTTCCGTAGAAACGATCGCTGAGCGCCCCACTACCACAGTTCATAACTGTTGGTTAATCGGAAGCTTCGACGAATACCGCAGCCGGTGAAGTATCACCAGAAAAAAAGAATTCATTGGGCTGAGAATCGCATCAACTGGATAGGGCGGTCTTCTCCGATGTTTCATGGGCACCGATATCTTCAGTAAGCCGCATTGTTCAGGTGACTTTTTACCGCTCTTGAAAGCTTTCGTTTCCGCAAGTTGGAATTGGTACTTTTGCAGGGAACGTACAATATTCCGTCATACAGTCAGCTATTTTCTGCTCAATTACCGCGCTTTATAATCCACTATAGTCATCGAAATGTGATGTCTCAAGAAGTCAGTCAGAGGACGAAACGGTAACTAGCAAGAAATAATCTTGATACAGTGGGTTGCCTAGCTCGAAAAATCTATGGGACAATTACATAGGCGTATATATATACATAGTAACAGTCGAACTTGCCGGTCGGGTAACCGCTAAAAAAAGAGTATTCAGCAATTGTGTGATGCGTTGCGCGAAACACAAATCAACAGTTTGAGCACTATCGCGAATGAACGCGACACTGAAGGTCATATTTCCTTTTTAATTCGGACGGGACAAACATCATCTGACCGTTAGTAATTGGTGCTGTATCCGAGCCAATTTGTCACATAGAATTCTCCCATGCAAAAAACCCATTGGTCTATTCAGAATGTTTGAGATTTTAGCCAAAAGCAGGTGTTCTTGTGATTTTCGAACAGACCATAGGATATCACTAACAACGGCGTGATTTTTGAGGTGTTGGTATTCATCAGCGACCGGTGTTGCAAGTCTGACGGTAGTTGCGCAGTTCATTGTACACAGAGGAGAGGGTAATGTACGGACACATCGAGTTTTTTTGAGATCTCCGGAGTGTGGTCTGCCTACGGTCTAGCTTACATTGCGTCGGAGCAACTACCCCTGCGATTGCCCAATTGGAGAAGTAGCCTGTCACAGCTCCGGGTTTGAACTTTCGACAACTGTTCACCACCTTGCGCGCAAGTATGGATTTCGTGTTTTGAGTGCCATTAGATCCGACGTCCGCCATCGTCTTTGCCGCTTCGAAGCAACAATTTCTGACCTTAGAAGCCGATGCGTCTCATGCCTATCTGATAACCTCATCTCAGAAGTACTTTACCGAATAAACGCCACCACCAGACGCCAGAATGAAGAAACGGGCCGATCTGCAAAAGAAACTAAAATCTCTTCTTGGCACGGCCAGCGAGACCGGAATGTCTACGAAGGTTGTTGGCCTTTCGAAAGGGGATCTTACATCCACTGAAATAAGCCTCCCGTCTAAGGGAATAAGATTCAGTCACACCTGCACCCACGGACTTCTTAGCCAACCTTAAATCCCTCCTACTGACCTCCGACGTCCCTGATGACATGTGTACAGACATTCGCAGCTGCTCTTTCGACAAAAGCGACCGATCGAAGAGGAAAAGGCGTTGCGATCGCCGAGGAAAGATGACAAAATAGTTATTATATCTGCTGACAAAGAAGAAGCAACCGTTATCATGGACAAGGCTAACTACATCAACAAGGCAAACCAAATCTTCGATGACATGGAAGCATATGCGCCACTCGCTATAGACCCTACGAAATACAGGCCGCGGTTATCAAGAAAAAAACGAATGAGCTTGCCCGATTGAAGCTCATAAGCCCCGATGACAACAGATCTATGGCCCTCAGTGACCCCTTTATCGTACGTGCTACGGCCTTCCGAAGGTGCACAAGACAGATGCGCCGCTGAGGATCATTGTGCCACTTATTGGATCCCCTACTTACAACCTTTCCAAGTAGTTATCCAGACAGTTAAAGCACCTCACAAATGGATCGCAATACAGCATCACTAATTATCAGGCTTTCCTAAAAAAGATCCAAGGCCGTGAAGTAAGTCCTGACAAATGCATCCTATCGTTCGATATTGTTGCACCCTTTTCTTCAATACCGCATGACCTAGCGATTGACAGTGTAGCCCGATGTCTAGAGCAAAGTCCCATTGGCATTCCAACACAGCATGTTCTAGACATGCTTAAGCTTTTCCTCAAGAATTATTGTCAGTTCGATGAAAAGTACTATCAACAAGTAAAAGACACCCCAATGGGCTCACCAATATTGGAACTGCTTGCAGAACTAGTCTTGCAGCGACTAGAACAGGATGTTGTGCAAACCTTCGAAACAAAAATTTGGCTCCGCCACGTGGACGACACATTTTTCATCATAAAGACCAGCGAAGTTGAGCGATTGCACCAGAACTTAAATAGCGTCTTCCCGGCTATACAGTTTACTCGCGAAGGAGCAACAGGAGATACCCTCCGGTTCTTAGATGTGAGTATACAAAGACTTAGTGATGGCAAACTAGTAACAAGCGTCCACGGAAAAGACTTTAGTGCCGGAATCATCCTTAACTACGGGAGCAATCATCCTGCGGCCCATAAACGAAGCTGTGTCCGCACTCTTTTCCATCGGGCCTATCGCATCTGCAACAATGATGACTTACTTAAGAAAGAATTGGCCTACTAGCATCGGTTATTTCGGTCCAACGGATATCTTGTCAGTTTTGTAAAAAATTGTCTCAGACGCCAGAGACAACCACCAAGTCCCGAGTCTAATGGGGATCGAGTGTCGCGGAACTTCTCTTCACTGCCGTACATTCAGGAGATTTCTGAAACACTCTTCCGGCAATTAAAACGCTTTGACATCTCCATCAACCACAAGTCCACATATTCCCTACGCGAGGCATTATGCCGAGTAAAGGACCCGGTGCCCAAGGAACAACTAAATAACGTCATCTACCGCATCTCGTGCGCCAACTGCCCTTGCGTTTATATTGGCCTTACAGGCCGATGTCTTGGGACTCGCATTAACGAGTACAAGTTAGTTCTCCGCCGACGTGACGACGCTGAGGACGGCTAATAAGCAAGAAATGGCCAGTCTCCATTGTCTTTGTCGGCAATAACATTCTGCTTATACACATGTATAAATATACACATCTGCTCCCGATTCCCGGCAGATAGATCGCTGAAAATAGTTAGCAAGCGTCTCGTTTTTAATATATATTTTCTAGGAAACCTGGTATTCATAAGGTCATATACATAAAAGCGGAATATTGCAAGATGTCGACGTAGATGTATAGTCTAATGTCGCAGTCTGGCCATTAGCACAAGGTTTGTTTCGAGGTATTTTCAAGGGCTTTAGGAGTTTGAAGATGCACTTTCATGGTGCACACAACGAAGCATGAAATTGCCACCGGCCTATTTGTCCTCAGGGGAAATTAAAAACTCAAGTGTCTCTATGTTTCAATAAATGTGGGGAGTGGCAAACTTTCCTAAAATCAAAATATTTCCACTTTATTTATCCTCTACTTTGAAAAAAACACATTTTAGCCCCAAAACAAACATGACAAGCAAAAGTGGTGTTTTTACCGGCGAGTTAAGTGATTTTTTACTCCCACTGGAAACCGGGAGTTATAACGTGCCCCTAACCCTAACGATTTTTTGCGAGTGGAATAAACATCACCGGCGGGAAAGTATGTCCCTAGAAAGTTTAAAATTACAGCGGTGCATGAATCGGACAGGTGGTGTTACCCCGCTTCAGTTGACAGTTCACGGTTTTCGCACCCCTCTTTCTGTTATACACGGGAAACGTTGATTTGAGCGACCGCGAAAGAAGGAGTATTGGCATTAGTTGGAATAGTGCCCAGGGAAAACACGGCCCGATAAGTCACTATGAATTGTTTCCGTCGTTTCGTGAATCCTCGTCCCCCAGTTCCCGAATGATGGGCGTGCGTCTCACTCACTGAATAACTTGCAGTGGTCTTCCACTTGCAACCCTCCACCATTCAGCACTCACATTTTTGTGTTTTGTGCGTAGCGGATAGGACCGCAGCCCTTTTACAGGTCTTCGACCCATTAAACAGACGAAAACCCCCCATGGGTGAAGACCTTATAACAGAGAAGGATATTTCCTGTCTGTTTTGGTGAGATTATTGCTTAAGGAGACTTTCGTTGATTAGGCAACGCAGCCATCTTTCACTTAGAACGCTGGCAACTAGTTCATTAATTAGCAGTTTACTGGTCCAAAATATATCCTTTGCATATTATAAGTGACGATGTGACATATGTGGTCGTTTGATCATGACTGCGTATTTGACAAGCTGTCAGGCAGTTAAGGTAGTCCACGAACATGAAGCGGTTTATCTCACAAAGTCCGTGGACACATGAAACTGCATCCCCGGCACCTATCTTCCAGCCATTTGAATTTCATATTTTCACAGCTACTTGTGATATATTTTTCCTAGTCATTAAATGGTAACTCTAAAAAATAAAATAAATAAAATCTAAAATATCTAAAATCTAAAAATAGACAAAAAAGAATTTTCAAAAATAACGAATTTTAAATAAATCGCCGCTGGCAAGCTAACATTCAGTCAGGAAGCCCAGGAATTCTCAATCAAAGGTAACGGTGAATAATAAGTGATTTCTACAGTCATACGGAATCTTTCATGCATTTGTCAGAGTTTCCAGCTACCTGGACTCCTACGACTATCGTTAACGGCACCCTTGAAAATCCATCTGACCACAAAACACCACAAATCCGCGTCTCTGCTGCCTTATTTATGCCTTTTTCTTAATGTTCATTTTGCAAACCTTTTCCCGCCTCTTTTCCATTATCATCGGCAGTTCTCATTCTTCCCCACCTCTCCACTCCGCATCTTCTTTGTCTTCGCCCACCTTGCGTTCATCATTTCTGCATTCCTTACCTGCCCCGCATACTCATTTCCAGTAATCTCATTTTTCCGGTTTTCAAGTCCTTACCAGTGCCGAGACTTTCTCCCTCACCCTATATTTGAGCAGTTTCTGCCCTTCCCGTCTCGGAGAGACAGTCTTTAGCTGTATTCGCTGATTGGGCTTTGCCTGACAGGCCGGCGCATTACTGAAAAGCCGGCGAGCGTGTGGAGGTAGACGGCGGCGGCGGCGGCGAGCGTGAAAGTACTTGGTTCAGTGCCGTTATTTTCGCTATCATCCGGCGGCATCCCCGAATCCTCGAGGACATTTAACTCTCAGGTGGTTAGTTTCGCGCACTGGCCCCCTCCCCCCCCGCCGCCGCCAACATCGCCACCGAGATGAGACGCTATCAATGGGCAGTACACTCCTCCTTCTCCTCCTCCTCCTTCTCCTCCTCCTCCTCCTCCTCCTCCCTTTGGGTTTGGGTGCGTTTGGTATGTTTGACAATACGGGTGCAAATCCCCCTTGTTCTTTTTAAAAAAGAGGCTTTTTGACACGACAGTTCCACAGTCGGGCGCAAGGAGTACGCCTATGGCAGTAAAAGATGGGTCTAACGCGGGCTGTGCACACAAAAGTTTGTGTCTAGCTGTCCTCTTTGCGTTGGTTGCTATGTAGGTTGGACTAATATTCTCCCTCAGCAAGCAGAAAGGCCGTTAAATAGTTCAAGAGTCTTTATAGTTTCGAAAATTCCCAAAGCAGTGTGCGGAAGACGAGTTGGCGAACATACAGTGAGTGGCCGATCTCATGAAATTTTGGCTGAAATTCTGAAATGCGTTTTCGATTAGGAAGGATTACTTGGTCGCGGTTGTAATAATGATTAGCTTTCGGCATGATCTTATAACATTTCAGACTCGGCAGGATGTCAGCTTTTGAATACACTGCTTTTCAATCTCATATAGAAACCGTAGTCGGTAAAGAATGATTACTTAAGTAGTAAGCATTTTTCCCGTTGATTTTCGATGGTCTTGGAAATTCAAATATATCTCATAGAAACCATAAACAAAAATATGCTTTCCTTCAGTCAATTAATAAAGAATCACGTCTTCTTTATATTTTATACTCAAGGAAGGAGTATAATAAGATTTTTAAAAAGTTTCCTAATTGCCGAATTATTTGGAGCCTGATCATTCGTTGCATTAGCGCTTAGTGATTTCAGTCTACAAGGTGCATGCGCTCCGCATAAAGAAAATCGCACATTTTTCTATGCTACTAAAGAGATATCATATAGAGTCCATACAATTTTGCAATGGCTGGGGACTGTGTTGTACATTTCATGGGGAGCTGTGGTAAATGGCGAGGTACGATGCTGTGTGAATGGACATTGCGAGGTCTTAAAAAATCTCATAATTATAAACCATTTTAAAACCTAAATATACTCCTTTCTTAAGTATTAAATATAAAGAAGACGTGATTCTCTATTAATTGACTGAAAGGAAGCATATTTTTGTTTGAATTTACAAGACCATCGAAAATCAATGGGAAAAATGCTTGCTACTTAAGTAGTCATTTTTTACCGACTACGGTTTCTACATGAGATTGAAAAGCAGTGTATTCAAAAACTGACATCCTGCCGAGTAAGAAATGTTATAAGATTTTGCCGCAAGCTAATCATTATTACAACCGCGACCAAGTTATCCTTCCTAATCGAAAACGCATTTCAGAATTTCAGCCAGCATTTCGTGAGATCGGTCATTAACTGTACGTTCGCTTCCGATAAATTCTCCCCAGACCAGTGCACTTATGTGGGAACGGGGTGCAGTCAAACATTTCAATAATCAAAAAAATCAAATAAAGTTCGTTTTTAAAAACAGCTGGAGTGAGGGCGGAAGGGCGCGGACAGTTGCATGCGGTTAGTCGACCCTGACCAAGGTAAGCGCGGAGCCTGAACGGGGTTCTTCTTCGCGCAAAAGGCTGGTTTTTGTAACCTGATTGTGCCCGGTTTTGCTATTGGTAACAGACGCTGGCTTAGGATAGCTCGAGGGAACCTTATAAATCACACAAAAAACTTCGTCGGGGTCCACACGATGTCCTGGATCAACTGCATCCGCAAGAAAGGCGCTGTTTATGCTTCCAGTTACGCCTTTTCCCAGCCGTGGGGGGGTGTTCTCGTATTCTTTTAGATAGGTGCCGACTCGTGCGGCCAATATAACCTGCTCCACAGTAGCAAGTAATGCACATTAAGGTGGTCTGAGGTGGCAGCTTATCCTTACTTTCTCCGCGTAAAATCGGGTTATAGGAGAATAATATTTGAACACTTGCTGTTGGGAAGGTTCTGGAGACAGCTTGCTCAAGGTGTTTTCTTAGGAGTTTACTCGCAGCGTCTTCTTCGAAAGGGGCTTTGAGGAACAACGGTTTCTTCTCGGTAGACAGCGTGGTGTGTTTTACCGGTCGTTTGGCAATGGTCTTTGCAATAAACCTGCCAGGATAGCAGTTTTCGCGCAGGAAGTCTTGGATTTTTTTTAAGTTCCATCTCGATGCTATCTCTTGAGCAAATTTCTCTATCTCTTTGTGCCAAACACCGGACTAGATTTTGTTTTTGTTGGAGGGGTACTAATTTAGCGAGGTTCATGTATTGTCCAGATCGGGTTCTCTTCCGATAGACGCTCCTTCTGACGTTGCCGTCAGGTCTCCTGTCTAAAAGGACATATAAGAAAGGGAACGAACCGGTCAATTCCATCTCAAATGTGAATTTGATCAACGGATTACCTGATTTACAGCATCTAAGAGGAGAGCTACGTCGGTTTCTGTGGTGGCGATCGCAAAAATATTACCAACGTAGCGACCGTAATGTTTAGCTTGTCAATCTGATCGCTTAGTTAGAATCTTTCTAGCTAACCCATGAAGACATCGGCTAAGAAAGGTCCAAAAGGCGAGCCCATACCAACTCAGTCTATTTGCCTATAGAGTTGGCTGTCAAACGGGGACTGCACATTTTATGTGCAGCTTAGTAATCGTTCCTTAAGTGTGTTCGTCGGAAATCCCATTTCCTGCTGATTAGCCGATAGAAGATCACAGACGTATTCAACTGTCTCGGTGACCGGGACGTTTGTAAAAAACGATACAACGTCTTGCGAGCGCATCATCATGCCGTTATGGCTAAGTTCTTTCATGTGGTCAATTAATTCAAAGGTATCTCGGTACCTGTGTGGCGCTAACTGGTGTTGTACGGGCTTGAGTTTCCCTGCTAACCACTTCGCTATCGCATGAGTTTTGCACCTCTGGTCCTCTTTGCTATGTCCTGACATCGGGCCCAGGCGGGAGAGGAGGAGAGGGCGCAGCAGACGCTGCGCAAGTCTTCTATCACCACATCTCAGGCAAGTCACCTCCTCTGCTCTCACTTTGCTAGGGAGCACACGGTAGACATCGTCGAAATTAACGGTTCAACTGTCAGAATTTTTGACACTAATTTGTCCTGGCTGTTTAAAATATGGATGCTTCCTAGTCTGAAGTGGATACATGACTGACTAACAAAACTGGGCATTTTTTACCGAATATCAGTGTCTAAGACGGCCTTTTTCCGTGCCCTTGTTAAACATGAACCTGAAATCGGTACTAAATGAATAGGAAGGGGCAGTAAAATAAGAAGTTTGTGTCTGACGATGACCACAGGAGATTTGGCCATATTTGTGGCGATATAAATTAGAGGTCGGGGATAGTCGAGGCTTGCGGCTGTCGCGCGCCTATGCGAATTCAAGGTCACATACCTTTGCTGCCGTAGATTTTGCAGGTAAGTGTGGGCTCCTGTGATATGCGTGGGCCACTCGAAGCGTGGAGGAGCTTAGGGCGGAAGTAGATTTAGCCGATTCTGTCTGTCAAGAGACCGGGGATTTAGTCACGCGGACCTCATGCTCTAGTGCCATAAATTTGCTTAGCAGAGTTGAACAAAGTTGCCTTCATAAGTGCATTCCAGTCCATTCCAGTCTCCCTTGTCTTTTTCGGTAATACCATTCTGTCTATATCGTGCGCCGCTGTGCGGCCATTGGCTGGGCACGAAGTAAAGAGCCCTAAGGCATAACGGGACGAGTGAGTTCCGTGGAAAGTATCGATGAGCGCCCCTCTATTAAACAATTCCTTCTCCAAAGATGAAGTACAAACACGTGCACTTTGAAGACTTTTGCAAAAAATGACGAGGCAATTCAGATGAAAAATTAGTGTTCGTTCGTCGTTGTCAACCTCCGATGTCCCAACGCCGCGGCTAGAAGTCCTACATTTGCTGTCATGGTTCTTCTCTTTTCAACTTAAGCTTCTTACCATCATGCCGCGAGCCAGCGCTCCATTATCTGCGATCAGGATTGCCTGACTCAGTGCGAGTGGCGTTAACTACTACTACTACTACTACTACTACTACTACTACTACTACTACTACTACTACTACTACTACCACCACCACCACTACTACTACTACTACTACCACTACTACTACTACTACTACCACCACCACCACCACCACTACTACTACTACTACTAATTCCACCGCCACTACTACTACTGCTACTTCCACCACTACTACTACCACCATCACCACCACTACTACCACTACTACTGCCACCACTACTACTGCTACTGCTACTACTACTACCACCACCACCACCACCACCACTGCTTCTACCACCACTATCAATAGAAACGAAGTGACGAGTCCCAGGAAGCGGTCGTGAAGAAGGAGACACAAGCGCTGGACCAAGAGATATATTCGCCCGACGTTTCGGATTCCTGCTCGAACCCATCATTAGAGACAGTAGCAAATACGGGTTATTGATTAAGATGACGGGTTCAAACAGGAATCCCAACATGTCATGCGAATAAAGCTCTTGTTCCAGCGATCGCGTCTCCTTCTTCACGACCACTACTATTGCTATAAATACTTCCACTACCACCACTACTAGATAGTTCGACCGTCGTTTCCGACGACGTCCACCTTGTGCTTCACAGCAGAGTGGAGCAGGGACGGTGACTTGTGCGTGATGTAGTTTATAGTGATAGTAGACTTGCCGAGCAGCTACCGCCCTCCTCCGCCTGAGCCCGATGTCAAGACAGATCCAAGAAGACCGAAATCGGGGGGGGGGGGAGGGCGCAAGTGAATGACATGGTTGAACCCACACCTTGGCTCTCCACTCCACACTACCTGGTCCACTCAGACAATGACCAGGATTTCTACCAACAAAAGGGTGGCTGGTATGGCCGGAGCCGCACCTAGGCCTGCCGTCACACCTGGCTCGGATCCCGCGAAATGGGGGTGCCATAAACGCCACGTTAAAAAGGCGCCATTGTGGCCTGACTCTTAGATCTCCAGTCGGCCGCTCTACACAAACACACAACGCTGGGCCGACTGCGAGGTTCGAGTTACCCAGTCAGTTGGCACCCTTCCATGCTACGGCTTGTAGTTCACCGTGATAGCTTCAAGCGCGTCAGGATGTTTATAGGGAAGAAAGTGCGCTGAGCCGTCGACTTCAGTCTCCCTTTCCATTCCCAGGCCCCGGTCACTGTTCGAGCCGGTCAGTTGACGGGTTCGGGGGATGGGCGCGGTGGCTTTCTATGCGCGCGCCACACGTACGACCTAATCCCCAAAACACAAACACTGACGTTTCACAACGGGAATTGAGCGGCGTGCATCCCACATGCGTGAGAGTGCCGATTCAGCCTGCGTCTCAACCCACCAGTCTGCCACTCCACAGAAACACACACACAACTGGGCAGACCGCGTGGACTGAGTTGGAGCGTCAGTCAGCAGCCTTCCAAGCCGCAGAGCCCGATGTGCCGTGATAGCCTCAGACTCAAATCACATGCAGTAGGGACCACATGGAGACACAGCCGAGAAGCACACTTCCCACTTGCGTGGGAGGTGGCAGTCGGATGCTTGTGGTGGATGATAATGTTGCGTAATGTAGGTGAAGGAAGATTTGATGGTGTGGTCTAGCTGGCCGTTGTCTACCGCAGGTTTTCTTAAACGCACATATGGCCTAATAGGTTCATGCGGTAAGTGAATGTGCGGGTGCAGTGAGGGCAGCTGAGGCGGATGCGGCGAGCATATGTAGATGCTTCGGACACTGGTTCGCCAGTCTCTGTGCGATGAATTCGCAGGTGACCGACTAGGCCGATGTGTGAGGTGAATGTACGGGGACAGTGTGAACAGGAAAAGTCGGCGACGTCAGTGTCGGCTTCGGAAATGGTGGCAACACTACCACCGCCGTCACCATCATCGCGTCTTTCCCCTCTCACTTTCCGATAGTCTGTTCTCAGTGTTAACACGAAAGCCCCAAAACATCCGCGCTTTTCTTCGTCGAAGCCTGCAATTGCCTAGTGAAGTTTCATCCGACAGGCGGTTCGCCTATTACGACTGTGTTTGCTGCCGCTGTAATGTTTTTCAATCGAAAACTCTGGGGTAGACCGATACTGAATCTGCGTGTACAGTAGGTGGGCTAACTCATGAAATGTCAACCGAAATTCCGAAATGCGTTCTCGTTTCGAAAAGATTAATTAAGTAGGGTTGTAAAACTAGTCAGCCTGCAACATAATTCCATAATCTTTCAGTTAGCTCAGGACGAATGAATTTACTTCCGACTGCATGCAAAAACTGCACTCTGTAAAAAACGACTACTTAAGAAGCATGATTTTTTCTCATTGCTTTTCGATGCCCCTAGAAGTTCAATTATATTTCATGGAAAGCATGCATAAAAATATTCATTCTTTTGCTCATTCGGTGGAAAATTACATCTTCTTCCAATCTTTTACTCGAAGAAAGGGTATAATTCGGTTTTCAAAAACCTTTCCAATTCCAAAATAATTTTGAACTCGCTCTACCGTTACACTTTGATTCAGGGTTCCCAAACTACAAGCCGTATAGTTTCCGCGTACGGAAAACCACTCATTTCTCTACGATAATAAAGGGGACCATATGGGGTTCATAAAATTCAGCCTCGGATTTGATCCATATTGTTAACTTTACAAGCTACATTGGTAAATGCAAAGACATGACGATTAATGAGCGGCCATTTCACGGTATTTAAAAGTCTCACAGTTAGAAACTTTTTTTAAAACCAAATTATCTCTCTCCTTTGACTATAAAATTAGAAGAAGACGTAGTTATCTGCCGAATGAGCAAAAGAATCAATATTTTAATGCATTTTTTCCATAAAATATAATTGGACATTTAGGGCATCGAAAATCAATGAGAAAAATTCATACTAATTTAGTAATCATTTTTTACAGAGTGTAGTTTTTACATGCAGCCAGAAGGAAGCTCATTCGAAAGCTGGCATTATGAAGCAACTGAAATATTATAGAATTATGATGCAGGCGGGCTAGTTTTACAATCTTATTTAATTGTTCTTTTGGAACCGAAAACGCATTTTGGAATTTCGGTTGACATTTCATGAGTTAGCCCATCGTTCAAGGATGGGTCGTCTGTTGTAGACAGTCTGGTGGATTATCTACAATGACCTTAGTTCAAAGAGAGTTAATTTTTCTTATTGTTCTCAAACACTTCTTCCTCTCTTCTCTCCCGTTGTATGGTGGTGCTCATTTACCCCGTTACCCTATCGCTGGGAGAGCTGGTCACCTAATTCTCCTCTTTCTTTACCTCACTCAGTATCCCATTAAGTTATGCACCCGGCCCCCCTCCCCTGCCTCAGTGTTAGAAACCCTGGGTGGCCATGACAAATTCGCACCAAAGAATGAAGGGCAGAGCTGGGCGGTGTGCAGGGCCGTCCTTGTAGATTCCGCATCCACGTCGACCTTCAGCATTTTAATGGCCTGTCACGCTCTCTAACTTCCCCGCCCACAGGGCGAGTTAATGCGCTTTTACGAGGTGTCCCACATGCCTTCCAGTTAGGTTCGTACGCGTGTGTGGGTGTGTGGGTGGTGTGTTTGACTTCGCCCTCGAACGGCCTTCTTGGCTGTCGCGTTGCCGGCGAAACGGCTACCAAACTGACCGTTGAGTCCTTAACCATTATTGCACATGCCTATGACACGCGCCAGACGCTGTGTCCCATCTCATTTCCTGTCATTTTGACTTGGATAGCTGACAGGGAGAAGGTGGAGTGAAGAGGATGTGAGCTTGATCCGGCTCGCCTGGAAGTCTTAGTCCTCCCACAATAAACATCCAACTAACAGCACAAGAGTTGTAACTTGATAGGTTGTCGACGGACGGATTAATTCGGGCTTTCTCCGGCTGAGATGGCTCCTTAAGCGAAGCAGAAGAGGTTTTTAGCACCGGAACACTTCGTTTATTGTCCTAAGCTTTCTGACTTCTGCGGGAGTCCATCGTCAGAGATAGTAGCAGCAACAGGACAAGCGCCAGTTATGGGGCATTTGGGCAAATCATTGACCAATGGCGCAAGACTGGATGTGACTGCGCAGGTCTCTGTACGCCGACGCCAGATGGATAAATCGATTGACTGAGTTCTCATCGGAGGCCCAGGCTTCAATCAATTCTCGGCCTGTTTTGTTTCCGGCGTGGGCGACTATTTTGGTGGCTGCGAAGTCAAACTCGTGACCCATTTCGTAGGTGTGGGCGGCCACTTGTGATAATGCGTCGCCTCGTCGCACTGCCAGCTTGTGTTCGTGTATGCGCGGTCGGAGCATGCGTCTAGTCTGGCCTGTGTAGTTACAAGGACAGTTTCGACACGGGGTGCGGTACACAACTCCGCAAACACAGGCACTGGCTTATTTATGATCGAAGACTAGGTTGCATGCAGCAGACGTAAGTAGACTGAGCTTTCGCATCCCTCCAAAGGCAGGAAATAAATCGAACAGACACTTCCTGTATGTCTCCATTTCGGATTTTTTCTCATGCTTAACTCGGAGGATCTGGGCGTTTCAAACCTCATTGACTGATACGGGGGTAACCCACCTGATAATTTCATTTTCTCCTTCTCTCTCCTGCTCCCAATGCTGCTAGACCCCCGAGACGGTCACTCTGAGTTGTGACGACACTGGTGTAAGACGCCAGGTCAGCGTAAACCTAACTGACCGACTACGGATACTGCGCATCACATGGAAGTTCTTTCCCAGCCTCCAGCCGCGGTCAAGCCTTCGAGAATCGTCTGCTGCTCAGCCGCTCTCCGAAGGCATCACTAAGACATCGCCAAACCTACGGGACCCCGATCTTCTAAACCGGCCCACCGCTGTGTCCCCTCCCCCCCGCTCGTCGCTGCCGCCGATCACGCTTCCACCTGGTTACAGCGTGCGAATCCAAATCACCTCACGGTTACATTTCGGCGGAAATTTTTCACTGGCCCGAAGTGAGTGCTGTCTCAACTGATTACTTTTATTTTTAAAAACTTACATCCAGAAAGGGCACTTCGAGGGCAAATTGCAATGAATTTGTCCTATATCGCAACTAGGTCCTTGAAGTTCCATTACTGACCTGGATGATCAACTTACTTGGGTATGCAGTCTGTATTCTGGATGACACTGATTGACAACGGCAAGCCAGTCAAAAATGATCACTCCAGTTTTTCTGCCTTTGTCGGCAAAACTTAATGAATCCGAATATCCATAGATGTTTTGGCAGATGTTGAAAAATTCATCTTGAACCAGCTGTGAAAAATTCGGCGACTCGGTGGGATTCGAACCGGTGGGATTCCCACCGTGGCGCCAAGTTACTGTTGTTATAACCAACACTGCTGTTGCAAATACAATTGATAATGCAACTGGCACCACTACTACGGCCATTAGTACTACCATTCTGTTACTAATAACTTTACTACTTCTATTACTGTTAATAATTGTATTACTACGACGGCTATCCATTCTACTCTAACATCATTAATATTACAATTACTACTACTACTACTACTACTACTACTACTACTACCACTACTGCTGCAACTAATACCAGTTTAGGTTCGGGCCAGAATCCCGCGCTGGGGTGCCCTTGGCCTACTAAGTCCGGCCACCTCCCTCCAGCCGCTGATAATTTATCTTCATTTCGTTTCAGCAGACACCTGTGTACCAGTGTGGGGAACGGAATGGACGGCCACAGGAGTAGCCTGTATAGTCAGTCCACTTCACCACCTTAAATAACGACGAAACGTTCGACATTTAATGGTCTACTAATTAATTTCTATTAAAGACGGACTGATGCGCTTCGCTAAGTCTATCAATTTGCCCATTAATCTCAGCGACGTTTTGCACGTCATTTAACCTGGCTGTGAGCTATGAACTGTGAATTTCGACGCTAAACGTCTGTTTGGTCCCCTTAAACTCCGCATCACTCAATCACTCTCCGGAAACTTACAGACTATCTGCAGGGTTTTCTAATCCCTTTCTGTGCCTTACTATAGGCCGGAGGAGGGGAAATTCCGAAGCTGAAGGTGAAGACGCTACGTCGACTGGCCTAACCTTTGCCTCTAGAAACTAACTGCACATATCCTTTCGTCAAAATGTCAAAATCCCGCCCCAGAGGTGTTGTCTTCGCAGGTCGAAGGGGTTGAGCCTTGCTATGGAGGGAAGCGGGTAGGGGGGAGGGGGGGTCGGAGAGAAAGAAACACAAAAGTGTGCGTGGTTTATGCGTGCTAGCCGTGTGGTGATGACAGCGAGGAAGCAAAGCCGGATACACCTGCCTGTGTCATTTTCACCACAATCGACCCGATTTTACCGGGCTACACTTCCACTATGACCGCGATCATTGTGAGGACGGAGGAGTTTTTTCTTGCATGCTCCGAATGGCTCTCGACCAAAACCCAACCGAGATATGGGGCCGGGTCATAGTGCGCCCGGTGGTCAGAGTAATTTCCCCTTTCCCACTTGTGGCCTCATCACGCACATACCGTGACATCGCCATAGAATATCCATAGCAGAATGGTTGTCCATCAGTTCCTCCGTACTTTCCATACTCGTCAAGCACTAACTTGCCATGAGAAGTGACGGTTCGACCGTCGATTCCGAAGATGTGCATCGTGTGCTACACAGCAAGGTGAAACAGGCCCAGTGACTTGCGTGTGAATTAATTTATAGTGATTGCAGACTTACGCAGCATCTACCGCACTCCCTCATCCCCACTCCCCACCCGGACCCGATGTCAAGACAGATACAAGAAGACCGGAGGCGGGGGAGGGCGCAGGTGGCTGGCACGGCCGGACACGCACCAGGCGTGCCGCTCCACACTTCCTGGTCCAAAAAATACGCTTGACTAAGATTTTTCACCAGCGACAACAGCAGCAACACCCGAACATGGGCGAGAAGGATGAGGATGATGTCTGGGCAGCCATGCCCACCATCTGTAAACCCAGCGGGAGCGCAAGCGCATCTACTGGCGGGGAACCAGGTGTCGGTGAACTGCCAGCGCATACCAGGCTGCGATGTCCATGGTTTGCTGATATGGGCATAGCACAAGCTTTCAGATCGTTTGACCACCACGAGAAGCACTCATTGCAGGATGTATATATATCGGAGTTTTGAGGTAACTTAGTCATAGCGATACCCGCGTAGTCCTAATTGCCAAATGTTAAGCAGACTTCAGTAACGGGCATTATCTGCCCTTTCCTGTGGTTCAGGGTTGCGTAGCCATACCGGATTTCCGTTTTCTCGTCCTAGCCATTATTAGGCGGCTGTTTTTAGTGGACAGGAAACTGTTGTTGATTTTTGGCAAGTTCAGTCATAGTTTGCAGACCATAAACCTCCAAGTGTCCCATAATCCTGATAAGACGCGACTTCCCAGACAACGATTACGTAGTGCGGAGGCAGAAATTGCAGTTGTGCATTTTCAGCCGCCACTCGGGCGCGCCAATATTAAGTTCCAGGATTGTGCCCGACGGCGGAGATGAGGCATTATTGGATATCGCGCAAAATTATTTATGTGGCGATGGTTTGTGACAGACTGCTGCGCGGGCATGCCTCAGGGCAATACTGGTGTTGTATCAGACCAGAAAGCCTACTTACAGTAGGATCTCTAGGGAAATCTTTGCCATTCTTTACTCCGCAGCAGGACCAACAGGTATGTCGCATCCTCCAGTAACCGCGGAGGTTGATCTGCTGTAGCATCAAAGCATCCGGCAAATGATCTTAAGGCCACGACCAAAGTGTGGGGACTGAGGAGGTATGGCATTTTACTCAAACATGTTGCCGACTTTGAGGCTTGAAGTACTAGATCACAAAATGCTTACGGCGATGCTGGAAGGACGTTTTGGCGAGAAAATGAAGTACACTGGGCAAAAGTCAGTAGCCGTATTACAAGTCGAGCTCAAAACGGGTGGTTGGAGCAGCGTCGGCTTCCTTCACTATGCATATATATGGAAGAAAGTAAAGCGATTTCTGGGGAGGATGATTTATTCATCTGACGTTTCACACTCATACTTGAGCAGAAAGGGGGTTTCTCCGTCAAAATAGCCCCCGACGAAATAATGGTGTCCTTCGACGTCGTCTCTCTTTTCACTTGGATTAAGGTCGCGCATGCATGAGCATTCGCTAGCTGTAAAGCGAAAAGAGGTGCAATCACATGTTGCTATGCATAGCCTCGAAAATAACCATCAATTCAGCTTCGACAAGGTAGAAGTAATCGGTCGAGCTGAAAGCAAAATGGCGAGCGAGATAATCGAAGCCTGGCAATCAAACGCCAACTCGATCAACCGTAGGATCGACCTACCGGCGCCAAACGAGGCCGTCAGACACCACTTGGGCAGGAAAGGAGGGCCAATGGGGAGAGAGAACAATGGACCTATCAGTAGTGAGTAAGAAAGACTTATTTAAACCTTGTATTCCCACTTTTAATCTATCTCCGATGATGCGCTCAAGTATGAGTGTGAAACGTCAGAGGAATAAATCATCCTCTCCAGAGATCTCTTTACCCACTTTTATTTCCACACCTGGGGTCGGCATTTTCGTCTATATCCATACATATACTCAAGAGACAACTTTTCTTAGGTGAATTTTCGGTATCGATTGCATTTAAACGTAGCTGAATTCATGCACGACGGCGCGCAGGCTGTTGAGGACGTTTAAATGCACTTGTGTTAATCACACGAGGCTAGACAGATCTGGATTCAAATAGTCTGCTATGAAGTCTACAGTTTATGGTTTAAATTCCAATTTTTTGGCCATCCTGAGATACGATATTTAAGAGTGCAAACTAAGTTCGCGCTGTCGGGATTTGAATGATTTGCGCATAGGTTGAATCACGAATTTCTGTTGCTACAACAGAAAAGCCCTGACTTAGAATTCCACATCAACATCTGACTAAATAAAAGCTTGGAGGACCCTTAGCAAAGTGAAATTTGCGTTCTTACGAGGCCGCCGCGTACCTATCTTTTACTCGATTCACACAGTCGCGATATTTAGTTTGAACTGTTAAGTCTGGTCGGGAAAGCTGCATCAAGGTGAGTAGTGTGTACTAATTACAGAAAAGAAACATCGTCTCAGCGAATGGAAGACAGATGCCACACCACCTCTTAAATTGACTGAGAAAAAATTATCTGAAGAAAGTGCGGGTGAGTAGAGACGTACATATTGCGTATGGTGATGCTCCCTCCCGGGAAGTCGACAAAACTTCTCGCATTGGTAAAGGCATTTCTAAAAATACTTCTGCCCTGTTAGCTATGCCAACTCTGAGGCATATAGGGGGCGACCTAAAGTGCCATTTCGGCAATTCTCTCCATTGCTAAGCCGTCATACGTGAAACCTGAATCGAGAATGTATGAAATCTGGATGGTGGTAGAGTTGGTTGAGGGTGAAAAGGTCAGTCAGTGAACCATCCTCCCACACTACTTCTTGCTCTTCAGCACATTCAAAACCACGTGGAAATGGCATTCGCCGAACTCGCATTAAAAATTGTGCGCATTCTCAACTAGTCTCTCGAATGCGCATATGCGTTGGAGAAAAAAGAAAACTATCTATTATTCTGTTGGTTAGAACTATGCGGTGGCAGATCCGGTTGCCGGCAGATGTCGCACACACTGGGACTCCTGCCGATCCCCTCTCCATTGTTCTTGCCGGTTAAGAAACCTTGTCATTTGTTGTGTGGACAAGGGGGTGTGGTGGCACGCCTAGGTGCGGTCCCGGCCGCGCCAGCCACCTGCGCCCTCCCACACCTCCGGTCCTATTGACTCTGTCTTGACACCAGGTCCAGGTGGGGGATGGGGAAGAGGGAGTGCGGTAGACGTTGAGCAAGTCTGCTACCACATTAAACTACCTCACGCGCAAACCACCGTCCCTGCTCCACACTACTGTGGAGCAGAAGGTGGACATTGTCGGAAAAGACGGCCGAACCATCGTGGTTAAAACTAACTGTGGGAAAGAACTTTCGTCCCTGTGGGACGTCCCTGGTCGTACGCTCTTTCAGCCAGAACCGATCAGAGTGTGGCTTCCTCCGAGACAAAGAGACTGCAGACAAAATTCCAAGCCAAAGTCATGGCCGAATCTTTTGCCAAAAAGTAGTGGTACAATTCCATGGGAATATTTTTCAACCAGAGATCGAAAAAAGTATTCTGTAATTCCCCCCCCCCCACTTAGCAAGTGAAAATCACTGTTTTTTGTGCTACGCTGTTTACCTTAAGCTAATAGACATCACAATCCCAGTTTTTTGCAGCCTATCCTACTTATTTAGAGCTGGTCAAACGTCGGGGCCCAAGGCCGGGACCGGCTGCCCAAAGAGATCGCATTTTATTCCTCATGATCTGAACTGATGTAGTCGCCCCGATTGCTGATGATGACAATAGAAAATTTAATACAAGCTTTTGGAGGTCGAAACATAGAGCATTCCTGGTGTTGGTATTATGCGAGACCTCGACGGTATCCTGGGGAAAAAACGCGCCTAGCAAATCAGTCGGAATTAGAAGCGTATTTTGGCAATATGATGTCGTTTGAGTACCAGCATATTATCATTTACGTATTGAATATTCTGAAATATTGTATAACTATTTTGCATATATTCCTTTTCTAACGAAGCCATAAATAACGTAGACTATAATTGTGAAAAACAAGATATTTATTCACCTGACGTTTTGGATTCCTGCTCGAACGTGTCATCAGAGACGATAGCAGATGATGATGGTTCCGAGCAGGAATCAGGGACATCAGGTGAATAAAACTCTTGTCCCAGCGACCGTGTTTCCTTCTTCACGACTGCATCCTGAGATTCGTCTCCTCGATCCCGTATAAACTACCATCGTTTAACTTGAAATCAATCCTAATCTGGATCGCTGAACACCAAAGTAAAAATGATGTTTTTTTCAATTTTACAGTAGCTATTACTTCGAGCAACCGGTTTGAGCCGATAACAATAATTGAGTCCACAATGCGTGCGTTTCGAACATGAAACGCCTTTCGTCTCTCTAATATAACGCTTTTCGTACAACTTGATTACTCAGATTGGCAAAGTTGAGATATCCGGATTGATTAATTGAAGAAGAAGACAGGCTCTCCGGAAGAGTTTTATTTAAGTGCTGACGTTTCAAAGAGCTGGGTCGGCTCTTCATTGTCAAAGCGTAAAATGCACTTAATCGATCAGAAATTTAATTTAAAGTGGCAGTCGTGTTGGCCGGCCTCATGCTGATCAATTTTCTTCTCCTCTCGCTGCCTCGGCCTCTCGGGAGATGGTTGACGGGCGTTTTGCCTGTGTGCTTTGTGAGTCACCACTCCGTCGAGGGGAACTGACTGGACTTTAGTCGGGCGATTGGTCTGGCGGTTCTTCTTCTTCCTCACCGAGTAGACTCAGCGTCGGCCTATCTCCGTGCGGCCTTCTTAAGTCCGGTGTGGTTGTTTGGTCCTGAGCTTGTGATGATGTAGGACTTTGTAAGCTGCAGGAAGGTCCAGATGCCTGTTGATAGAGTGGACATCGGAGAACCACGCCTCGATATTCCGTAAAGTATCGTTACACCTCAACTCCGAGGACCGTAAAGTCTTGCGTGAGACCTGTATTTTCGACATATTTGTACTTTTTCAGGTATATTTTTAGGAATCGCGTATCCCAGGGTACAGAATAGTTTGGTATTCTCTTCTTCCCAGTGCAGAACTGTTTTGCCGTTTTGCTGCGTTTCTCTGGAAGAGTTGTGCAGTCGATAAAATGGTAGAGGGGGCGCTCACCGATCGTTTATTACGGAACTCTCTCGTCCCGTTGTGCCTTAGGGCTCTCTCTCTCTCGAGCCCAACCAGCAGCCGCAAAGCGGTGCGTAATATTGGCAGAATGCCATTACCGACAAAGACATGGGACACCGGAGTGGCCATAAGTTAAGAAGAATAGTCGAGCACCCGAACATTTTTTTTATTGTCCTGAGCTTTCGGACTCGTGCAAAAGTCCATCGTCAGAGGTAGTAGCAGCAATAGAACAAGCGACAGTTATACGGCATGTAGGCCAATCATCGACCAACGGCGCAAAATTGGTGGTGACTACGCAGGTCTCTGTATGCCGGCGCCAGATCGATAAATCGATTGACCGAGTTCTCATCAGAGGCCCAGGCTTCAATCATCTCTCGGCCTGTTTTGTTTCGGGCGTGGGCGACGATTTTGATGGCCATTTCTGACTTATTAGCCGTCGTCAGCCAGTCATACCCAACCCCGAGGTGTGAAAGACCTGGTGATCGAGTCCCAATGTCAAGGGCAAGTCAAGAAGACTGGAGACGGAAGAGGACGCAGGTAGTGAACACGGATAAAAAACCGCACCTAGGCGTACCACCACGCCACCTGGTTCACAACGTGCACTGACTAGGATTTTACATAACAGAAGAAGAGGTCCGCGGCACGGATCCCAATTGTCACGGCGTGCGCTCGCATCTAGGCCTACTGCCACAGGCCCCGAATGTTGACATTTGTTACGGGTGCGCTTTCCCCAACAACGCTTGCCGAACCCCTGTATTGGTCCAGCGTATCTCCCGCGTGGCCCATTTTAGGGACACACACACACACGCACGTACTATGACTTTGGTATCGAGGCGGGGTAAAGTGAATTGGAGGTGTCTAACTACGCAAACTGTGCGCAGTTAAAATGAAGTCTGCCGTCAAGTGGACTTGCATCAAGCGGGTTGGTTTGGCTACAACTGCCTGGCGTGTGGGGTGGTAAGGCCCATTTAAAAGTACGAAGTTAAAATCATATGGTGTCGCGGAATCGGATCGTTCTAACTACCACTCAGTGTCACTATGTGTAAATGATTCGGCTGTGGTCTGACCGGAACTCCGGGCAAGCGCCTAGGCTATTTCACATCGTGAAGTTTATTTCCAGGTATTTTGGGCTACCGGTCGTTTCTGTGATATGACCTGCCATTTAGCTATGGGCAATATTCCAAGTCGCTTTTTTTACCCAGTGCTTAGTTCGGAGGATGCACAGTCGAAAACCAGCATACAATTTTATATGGCTAACTTTGAGAATACATGCCGTAACTTCTAAGCTGATTTAAACCCTTTGTTGAACAGAACGTCAAATTAAATATAGCGATAGGTTATTTTTGGATTGGGCCTTGGTGGATTTGATCGGTTAGATAGGAGGAGACCTTTATTTTGAGACGGTCGTTTGACAAATTTCAGCAAAAAGTTCCCAGTCATCTTACTGGAAGAAATAAATATTACCATAACACGATATGACTATCGCGGTAACAAACCCAGGTAACGATAGGGCGTAAGACTCCAAAATAGATGGCAACTCCAAAAATATATCCTAAGATTTAGTGCGACTGTAAATATCGGTCATTATTCACCGTTCCCATTGTTTGGAATTTCCTTCCCTTCCTGACTAAATATAAACTTACCAGCGGCGCTTTATTTAAGTCAGTCATTCTTTTGAAAATTGCCTTTTGCTTACTCTTTACTTATCGTGCTCAATTTCTTTGCAAAATGACAGCGTACGATAAGACTCTCCGGAAAATTTTATCTACTTTTTGCGTTTTCTTGTTCCCGTCCTGTGTGTTGCCCCATCCTTAAAACCCCCACTACAACCATTCAACGTATGACACGGTTGACAGCCTAGCTCTAATTAGTTGTGGGTCGTGCTACCTATTGTTGCCCAACCCCATTCCCAATTCTCGGATTTCGTTCTCACTGCCTGTCAGAAGTCGTGCGAACGATGATATGGATGATCGTTGTCATGCTGATGTACGACGGGAGGTGTGCCGAAAGAAGCGCTTATTTGGTCAAAATGACTTTGCAGCGCTTGAGTTTGAGTGAAGGGGTGGATATTATCATTGGGAACTCGATTAGCTACTTGCTTCACTATTGTTAACTGCCATCTTACTAAAGATATACCTAGAAAGATATAATAAATATTGACAGCAGAAGATTGTATGCGTAGGACACGTCTTGTAATGTGAATGTCCTTCCTCGGTAAGACTGAAAAAGAATGACAGGAGAACAGAGGAGGGATACAGGCATCTTTAAATCGCCAGACGAAAGACCGAGGTGCATAATAAGAACGCAAGCGTTGAATGTAATAAATAAGTTTGGGATTAGTCATGAAAGGAGAATAAGCGATTGGATGAGGGAGTAAAAATGAAGTAATGAAAATAAGAAACCTAATTGGAAAGGAATTTAGGAATGAGAGATGGTCGCAATCAGAAGTCGCATAAAACTGTTTTTCGACTACTGAGTAGAAACCCGTTTCTCGGTCACCATAGTGAGACGTGTACGAAACGCTTTCTAAAAACTTGGACATTAAACTAATTTTTGACGATACAACCAACAACCATATCGCCATTTGCTCTACGATCTCAGATCATCGGTGTGAAGCGAAAAGGTGCAGGGGATGACATGGAACCCTTAGGCCCTCTGTGAAGAAGTCTGGATTTCAGATTGCCAGACTAAGTTCAGAAGAGATAATAGTCTGCGAACCAGATGACGGTCCAGCTAGAGGAGCTGTATTCGGATATTTTCACGTGGAACAGGTAAGTAGAATATCAATGAAGACAGATGAGTGTTCAGTAGATACACGTGCGTTTTCCGGACAATCATTGCACAGCGATGGCCGTCTTAGGGTGGAACATGCTCACTTTTTAGAATCCGAACCATTGCTCCATGCCATTTAGGTCAGGAGATGCAATATCGCTGGTTAACGATTTATAGCATAATAGCAACTACTGTTCTCCTCGCCCATGTCTTTTTTGGTATTCCATGCGTCCTCCCCCCTCCGTATTATGAGCTAGATTGCAACCCCAGTAACAAGAGAGCGAGGATGATGCAATCAGATCACTGAATCGCCAGCTGCAGGATAATTAATGCCGCAAAAATCAACTGATAGAGCACCAAGTCTGAGGTTCGGTAGTAGGGTTGACGTTAGGCTATGGAGACGGGCTATTTTTCTCCTTCCTTGTCTTTGTGGTTATTCGCCACACACACTAATGGTCACTTCTCATTTGTTTCTCCTCACGCTTATCGGTGCGACGGAGGTGCAATTAAGGGGCTTCAGATGCAAGGTCAAACTCGCTTGCCTTTTTTCTGGAGGATATCGTCTGATTTATTTAAAAGGTGATAGGCTCCTGATCCGCAACTATCCTCCGTCCTTTGTTTTCTCCATCCAGAACGTGAGTTGTGCGATCTCTACGGCTTTTGGTGCAGCCCCGCGGCCGCCGAAGGTGACCAATCAGAGGAAGAGGACGAGACAAGTGGCATCTGTATTCGCTCCTCCATGCTCTGTGACGGCTTCCCCGACTGTTGGCTAGACGACCCCGAGCATTCACCGGACGAAGTGGGCTGCAAGGCTCCTCTGCTACCAGAACCGGACTCCTCTACCTTCACAAACATGGAGAACAGCTCCCTCCTCCCAGAATGTGAGTTAGTGTTTACGTGCTTTCTGCTCTCTTCTGTCTGAATACTACTCGTCTACTCTTGATTGTCCTTGTCTCATCCCTGACAAGTCTTCGAGTAAACAAGATTACCGTAATTGGGTTGCGGTGTTAAGTTGTGCCTACGGAAAGAAACTTCTCCGATCTATCCTAGTTTTGAAACGTGGGACTGACTCCCGCTTTACCCTGCAGCCTCCGTCTAACAAGTAGCACACGTTTTGCGTCCTGCACTCGGGTCAGGGCAATTCTTCCTAGTATTTTGCGCGCTCGCGATCGAAGAGAACAGGAGTTAGGTCTATGACGTGTCGGAGGAGAAATAAACTTCAAAGTTTGGTGACTATCTTGCCACTCTCATGTCTTTTTGAAATGACTCTCAACTGTCAGTTAGTTGGAAATACACTCTCTTTAAGCGGGACATCATTCCTTACAACTGGGGATATTGAAATTCAGGATGATTTAATTATACGCAATAGGTCAGCGGTCGCGGTCGCCGAAGTCAAATACTGTATCGCGAGGTTAGCACAGTCGGGATTTCTGCGTGCATCTGTTTTTAATAAGGCATGTTCGCATCGCATCTACCTTGTTCTCTCTTTCTACGCTCACTACATTTCAATGACAAGACAAGATCAAGACGACCGGAAGAGGGCGTGGGTGCAGTTGTCGAGAAAGTGTAACATTGCGTCTACGCGGGCCACGCACGTTCCAGGGCTCATTGAGGGGTCGTCAAGGCTCGTATAAGTGAGTGCTGCACCAGGGCACATTAACAAAAGGCTGCTTTAGTCTGATCATCGTTACCAGCTCCCTGCAGCCTTCATAACGGTAGGTTGAAGAGCGCTCATCTGCTGTGAGAGAGTGCACCTCCTCGCTGCCTCACCTTCTTCTCACGGGAAGGACTTATTCCGTCAGGCTTCAGCTCTCCGCCCTATGAGCAGTGAGCGGGGCTGCTCGGCGTCTGATGCTGCCTGATGGTGTGCACAGTGACGCGTACGGTTTTAAATATTCACGCGTTCCTTGGACCGTAAGCGAACGTACCGCCTGTCCTTGTTGTAGTCAAGTATTGTGTGTGTGTGTCTGTTCTTGGCTATACGTACGTAGCGACCCGCCTAGAATTAGGGGAGTATCCCAATCCAGCATGTCTACCGTGTGGGTCCTAAACTAGTATGAATTGCCAAACTTTGATCAGCAAAAGCATAGTGCAATTACTTCTGCTGCTCGTTTTTAGATTATCTGTCTTCCTATCAAGTGAATTAGACCTTAAGCCAATTTGTTGTGGAGAAAATAACAATGTATATATGAGTTTAGAAAAACTAGAAAAAAGTAGACGTATGGGCCATCAATTACCGACTCACTTTCGAGCGTCCCCATCGTTGGTAACTGAGAGAACTCTCGTCAGGCAACCAGAAAGCTCATGTATAAGAATTTGCTGAGTTTATGGCACGCATCTCAGAATTGCAGCCTAATATGTCGGTCTCTGTCTTATTTGAGATTATCATCAGAGCGTTCAGTCTGGATTTCCATACTTTCACTCATGAGCAACACAGAACCGACAAGTTTTCCGCCTGCCAGAACGGATATTAAAGAAAGTAAATGCCAGTCAACTACTCTTGCAGCCTTCGAAACCCCCATCGGTCTTAAAGACAGCCTTCTGATCTGCATCCGGTATTGCGTGTTCAGCATCCGTCACAGGCTGGTTTCCACGCTTTCTGCCCTCCATTAACTTCGCAGCTTCATTTCTCCAAGAAAATCTTAGTCCTTTTCTCCAAAATACTTTTTTGTCCTGCTCCAAAAAGGAACAGACGGACAACCAATTCACTATCAGGTGCGGCCCAACATGTCGCTAAGGGAGACATTGATGATATTTCGCGGTTGGGTGTCCTGAGTATTTTAGTCTAAGTGCTGTCCTATTTTCAACTGGTGATGCAAAATAATCTCATTCCCGACACAAGTGTCTGCCGATCATCGTCTCCGGTTTTCCGGTTCCCCACCTCTGCCATTACCGCTTCAGATAGTCTGGGGTCCATTTTCCATTCGGAACTCAGTCGCCTGATTTCAGACGCCCAACAGGCGTTTCGACGGCGGGTCTCACAGCCACCTGGGCGAGTGATTGGAATCCCCCCATCTCCTCCCGGTTCCTCCAGTTCAGTGTAGGAATTGTTTCCGTTTTTCGCAGTAACGTCTCTGGGATGCGAATATGGTCATATGCGGTTATGCAGCCGCAACTGATGTAAAGAAACTCCAGCCACCAGTAATACGGGAGCGGTGGCAATAGGGGTTTTTACAGGTGGGGCCGGGGAACGCACAAACGACGAGGTCAAATAATTATGTGCAAAAGAAATGCTACTGGAAATGCGCGGTTGTACTCTGAGTGGTTGAGAAATAGTTGCCCCAACCTCTAACTCTAACCATAACCTTCAACCCTAAAACACCCAACGCGACAGTTAGAAGGAGACGACAGGCCGAAAGTCAAGAAGAACCACTGGCATTGGACCAACAAGGTAGACACTAAAACAAAGAAACAATGCCGGCAACAGAACACACACCACAACGCACAGCAACACCATGCCAGCGTAAGCACACCAACTCAAAATAATTAAGTAGGAAAACAGCATTGTGTCCATCAGGTGCGGCTACGTAATCACATCTTACTGCGAAACTTACATTGGTCAGGGAATTCTTTAGGAATATCCGTAGACCCAATATTTTCACTGAAACTACTTGTCATAGGGAATACGCTACTTCCAGTCTCTTCACAATTTGATCTTGAGTGGTTAATTCTTGCTTATGATGTTTACAGCTAGAGCAAGTTCCGCACTGGAACAGTACGTCTTTGGGAGTTTTACGGGTACAACAGATAATGACGATCGTCAGATGTACAGTGTGTGACCGATCTAATGAAATTTTAGCGAAGCTCTGAAACGCGTTTCGATTAGGAAAGACTACTTAAGTGGGATTGTTATAATGATTATCATGCAGCATAACGCCATAACATTTCGGACTTGCCAGGATGTCGGCTTTTGAATGCACTTCTCTTTGACCTCCTGAAGAGATCACACTCGGTAAAAAATGACTACTTAAGTGGCATGCATTTTTCTTATTGATTTTCGATTGTCTTATAAATTCAAATACGTTTTTAGAAAACATGCACAAAATATGCTTCCTTTTACTACTTTGATAGAAACTCACATTGTCTTCATATTTTATGCCCGAACAAAGTGTGTATTTAGGTTTTAAAAAAGTCTTTAATTATGAGATTTTTAAGACCGTGCGATGTCCATGCATACAGGACCGCACATGTCCGTTTATTAATGCTCCTCATGAAATGTGCAAAATGGTCCACATACATTGTTAAATTTTATGGACTCTGTATAATATCTTTTTAAAGGCATATAAGAATGTGTGATTTTCCTTACGCGGAAAGCATGCACCTTGTAGACTGAAATCGCTAAACGCTAACACAATGACAGATCAGGCTCAAAATTATTCGGTAACTGGGAAACTTTTTAAAACCTAAATATACACGTTCTTCGGGCATAAAATATGAAGATAGTATGCGTTTCTACCAAAAGAGTAAAAGAAGGCATATCTTGTGCATGGTTTCTATAAAATGTATTTGAATTTATAAGACCATCGAAAATCAATAGGAAAAACGCAAGCCACTTAAGTTGTCATTTTTTACCGAGTGTGGTTTCTGCAAGTGGTCAAAAAGAAGTACATTCAAAAGCCGACATCCTGGCGAGTCGGAAATGTTTTAGGGTTATGCTGCATGATAATCAGTATAACAACCCCCCTTAAGTAGTCCTTCCTAATCGGAAACGCGTTTCAGAGCTTCGCTAAAATTTCATGAGATCGGTCACACACTGTATGGTCGTCATTGTTGCCTGGTCGGGTCGGGTCCTTTCTGCCTAATTGGCCTGCCGCAAATCGAGCCAGAGAGTATGCGCTCTGCTGCCTATCGATCGTCTGAAAAATCGATCGAGCCATTACCCGTTGAACAGGACTGGCACCAGGTGGTCACATGAGCGGAACTCAAGGGTGGGAAGTCTTTACCGACCTTTCTAGCAGACTAGTTTGTGGTTGTGAAGCGCAGCCGATTGGAATGTGAAACCTTGGTAGACCGCGGGCAGCCCTCCACCCATGCAGTAATACCGCTAGTGCTTATGATTTGTTTGTGAATGAATTCCCAGTCGTACGCGCGGGTAGGTGCCCCCTTCTTCCCGTATGACAGGTGGTTTTACACTAATTTCCACGGGGATACCTATTCCCGAGTCCTAATCCTAGTCTCCCTGGAATTTAACGAGAGGTTACCTTTGCTGCGAAGAATACCTATTCCCATGTCTCACCGACTTCTTTGCAGCGAGTGAAGGTTTTATCGTTATGCCGTTCGCGACTGCTTATTCTTCATACCGCAATGCCTACCTCTTCTGCTGCAACCTTCCGCCGAAGATCTTTTTGCCATCTGAGGCCTGTGGACTAACCGGTTAACTTACGACTAGGTTAATAGGTACCCTCTTCCGATTGAAAAAGCTTGCCTTACAATCTCGTCACATAAAAATTCTATCGTTTCCGTGCTAATGAATAATCGAAAGCGTACGTTTGCCGGGCTTGTCTTTTTAGATTTTTATATTAAGTCTAACAGCCTCCTGCTTGACTTATATGAAATTTACTCTTAATGTCCTAATTCGAGAAATTCTGAGAGGGAAAACGACTTAATTTCCAGCAGTCTAGTCTACTCGGGCTGCCAGTTACTTGGCCCTCGTTGTCTTCAAGTCGCCTGGTTTGTGTTTTTCTTGCCAGTAATCAGAGAAGACGGCATATTTCAATCCTCCGTTGGCAAATAATCTTTGATTTGTCGTCATGGTTTCTGGATTACTGACTTAAGGCCATGTCCCAAACTGTCAGTTTTCATAACCTGACCTGAACCAGTGCTTGTCTTTCAACCCGCTAGACTACAGCTGCCTTGTTCGGCCCTCCACGCCCATGCTCGAGGCAGAACACTTACGATAATTAACGTCTTGCATAACAATTATCTCATTTTGACAATAGGGTTGAGGGGACTTGCGAACTCGAAGGCAGTGCTGCCATACATTATAGGAAAGTAATGCAACCAATCCCCTTACTTCCACCCAAGATGGCGCGTTTGCTTTCTTTCTGTTCTCACGCAGGAAAGCACACATTTCGGGCTAGTTGACCCAGAGCGCGTCTTCCGGTTGTCCAAAATCTCAGCCAAGTCCTGCCTAGACTGGTCATTGTTTTATGGGGTTACTTAGTGGAGAAGGTATTTTTCGGCCTTCAGGGTGAACATATCCATCCACCCTCCGGCAAACCCCCTTAAGGTCCCAAGTTTGCAATAATATATATATATGAGCCTCTATTAGCAATATATATATATATATATATATATATAGCGAAAGTTGCCAGTCTCCGTGAAACGGTCGCTTGTGACACTGTTCCCTACCACATGATCCGGTCTGTAAGATGTGTTTCCTCGTTTTGTCAGCCACCGTTTACACTTGAAGACAGTCGCTGTGTTTTATTTTGGAAGTATCATTCCAAAATTTTCAGCCGAGAAAGGGCTTTTATTTACTGTGGATAACAGTCGGTGCACACAGCAGATAACATCAGATCACAAGCGATACTTAATGGCCGAAAACTGCAACTGTCGACATAATGAAGAATTATCGGTAAACAAGTTGCGAAATCGGCGTCAGATTTTAATTCCTCCAAAGCGATGCTAGCGTAGTGTGCAGATGATCTCATTATTGTAGTTCAGATAAACAAAGAGGGGAAGCATCAGTGAGTAATGAGCAAAATTGGCCAACAGATGTACACCTAAAAAAATTCTCATGTGAATTGAGAGTAGAAAAAAACGGCGGCTCAGTTCCAAAAGCCCGTCCTGAAATCCATTGTTCCTCAAAACCACCTACCTTCATCCAATAGAGTTATCCAGGAGTGGAGACTAGTTTGTCTACTTCCAAGCCAGACAGCACTCGGCAGACCTCTTCGGGCCTATCAACAGACTGCTGTTTATCAAGGTAGCACTCTTCGCCAAAACTTTATTTTTGGCGTTTCCTACATCTCATTTGATGTGGCACAGCCTTCGTCGCCGCCAACCGATGTTTATAAGAAGTGATCAACCCGACGCTCTACAACTTCGTTTTGTTTAGGCCTGTGTAGTTCTTGAGGTCTGAAAGTTGTCTTTTCGACTCACGCCTTTGATAGTTATAGCCCACTGACGAAATTCTGACATTAGGAGTCGGTCTACGATTATCGCCGTCTTATGTAAACAGGCGAATTAACGTAACCGCTTTCGTGTATAAAGGTGGGCTAAGTGAAGGGCAGCTAATGTGTGGAGCAGGTTATTTCAGTGATATACCCTCTTCTCCTTCCTCCTCCTTCTCCTCCCCCTCGGCATCTTACCAAGTTTCGTAATTCGTGCTCTGCTCCACGTGCTGGTCTTGACTTTAGGCATTTTCACTGATTTTCGTGGTTAATGTTGCAGACGCTTGTCATCGATTAATCCCATACGGGTCCGAAAAAATATGTGTACTCCCCTTAATTAAGGCGCAAGGCTACCTTTTAGACGGAAAAGGTGATAATAGGGGCCTTTTAGGTGGGGAAATTTGGTGTTCGTAAATAAATAAAAATTAAGAAATCGTATTTGCGCAGCACGCACGTTTTGATATACTAAAAGGGCATTTTGTAAGAAAATAATTCAAGCAGGCTCAAATATCTGTTCCTTACCCTAATCCCTCCTAATCATGGAGGCAACATTCAGGCGTCCGTATTCACGACTCAGTGTAACTACTCCAGAACTCTGGGTGTCTACTTACCTGCCCAATGTTTAAGTATTGCCTTACCGTGGAAGTGTCATTCAACTTTTGAAGATTATGTCGGTTGTGTAGAGCATTTTCCTGGCAACTACATCATCATGGAGGCAAGTGGACTTCGAATTCATGCCAGCTGTACGGTGAGAGGGATTTAGTCTGCTTTTTATAAAGAGTCAACTGGACTCTAACCGCTCAGCCTCTGAGGGGTCGGCCTTCAGTAATACCTTTCAAATAAGAGTCAGATGGGGTTATATAGCCCCCGCCTGGAGTAACCAGACCCCAGCCACCTGTAATACGCGATCGGTATGGTAGGGCTTTTTACGGGCGAGACGGGGGAGCGTACAGGCGAAGAAGTCAAACAATTGTATGCAAGAGAACAGCTATTGGGGATGCGCGGTTGTGCTTTAGATGGTTAAGAAATAGTTGACCTGATCCCTAACTCGAACCCCTAGCCCCAATCGCTAACCTTAAGCCCAAGCCCTAGCCCCTAACCTTAACCCCTGCCATAACCCCTAGCCCTAACCCCTATCCATAACCCCTAACCCCTAACCGCAACCCCAACGGTATTGTGTCCATCAGGTGGGGCTACATAACCACATCTTACCGGGTTTCATTTACTGAGCTTTAGGAAAACGATAGGTTTTAAAATGCAAGGTTGATTACCATTATTTTTAATTCTCGATCCCTGGGTATCACTTTGTTTGCCAGGCCGGCAACAGATAGTTTGGCAGTTGCCTGGCTATTTTACTTTGACTTCAACTCTTATTGGGTCTGGTTATCCGCTAGGGTTACGGGAAATATGGACTTTTTCTATAATTCTTTTCCTCGGCGAGCTTGACGTCCTTTCGCATTGATCTATTTTAGCAAAATTCACAACAAGTCCGCAAACCTCACTGGGATTTGATGGTCGAATTTCTGCTTGAAGAAGGCAAGGCGCACATGCACGTGGTTACACATGACAAATGTATACGCCGGTTAGGAATTTGTTTTTTTTTCTCTCGCCTGCTTCTTATTAGGCTCATGGGTTTAAAAATAACCAGTAATATCTACGCTTGTGCGGAGCACACAATCTCGGTGACGGCTCTCCTCAGTAAAGCCCCAACATGTGTTTTGATGACCACCTACAAGGCCCCTCAAATCGCTCTCCTGCACTGCAATTAAAACTGTCTCAAAAGTAGTCCTCACCGGTCTTGGGTATCATGCCTATCAGGGAGAAGAAAGAGAGGCAGAAAGTCTGCTTCCCATTTTCGTGCCAGGAACTGCCAAAGCACCGAAAACGCTAGGTGGTTACCTACTTACTGCCTGCTACCCTGTCCGCCTGTCCTCTCGCCGCTTTTCACTGTCCCTTCCCTCACGTCCGAAGGAGTGCTTTTATTTTTGAATTGTCAAAACTGTCAACGCAAACAATGCCCCGCCCCTCCCCCCTCCATCATCAACCTGGCAGAATAGCGACAATTGGCCCGAAGAAAAGCTGACACGGGGAACAGTTTTGTTCCCTTGAGACGCTTAAGTGCTGTGGTCTCAACTGACATCTAGCCGGCTCCTCGATTAGTGTGGGCTGGTTCGCCCAAGCAGCATCAATTCGGTACTGCTCTTGCGGATATTCCAGTGAACCTGTTGTCTATGCTCTCTCAGTTCACTTGAGACCCCGCAGGTGTTTTCGGTGTGCGCCACCCTTAAAGTTCAGGGCACAGACGAATAAATCGGCATTTGTGGTAGAACCCGCACTGTTAGGTCTACCTGCTGTTGGAGCACGAATGTTTTTAAAGTTCCGACACCGATAGCGGACAGAAAAGACTTGCAAAGGACAGTTAGTCACTCGACGGTAGGCTGAGAGCGCAGCCGAGAAAGCGACACAAAAAATGTCAGGGGACATCCAAGTCGACGTCATCAGCCGACCGGTTAGGTTCATTGGTCAGTGAGGTCTTTGAGGTTTTTCACATCTCATCAAAATAAACATTGAAGGAATAAAGAATCAGTCTGGAGAATAGCATCTTAGTGGATTGCTTGACCGAGTTCTGGGTATCATTCGGACATAGTTGGCAGTATCTTGGGAGCTCAAAGCAAGAAGTGAGAGTTATCGTTGGATGCAAAAGAACTGTCATTTGGAGACGAGGAAGATCAGAAATTGTACCTGAAAAGCACCCTAGCACATTTAAGGTTCTCAGACTATAGCCTTTCGGTCGTCCAAAATCTTGGCAAAACCTTGACTGAACTAATCATTGTTTCGTGCGACGACTTTCATGGAGGAATTCTCTCCTGTAGCGTCTTGAAGGTGGATATAGTCATATTTTCTCCAGTAAGCCACCTTAAGGTCCAATGTGTGTGCTGGCCAACAGGTTGTTCGTCACAATGTGATTACAACCTGTGACCTTTTACTAGCAACCAGTTCTCCCAGATCAGTGAACGTACACGCCTGAAGGCATTACCAGCGAACCGTCTGCGACTGCTTTATCGTCATACGTCAAAATCCCAGCAGTTCTCAGGGGGAAGCACTAAAACCCCTTCCACTACCTACTACCCGCAGAATCCCCCGGTTGCCCGACAGGATTTCCTTACTTTGTGAGGAATTTAAATTGATGCGGGCACTGCCCCAGTTTTTCTTTCATTCCCACCACTTGAAACATTGTCAAGATTGCACATTTCGCCTTTCCGAATACATTTAGGCGTATGCAGGTGTTTAATCTGTGTCCTCCCATTCCCTGCCCGGTTTACGAGCGTAGGGTTAATCTGCGAGGAAGCCTAGCAATTGTGGTCACTGGGCTCCTTGGGGAGGGAGAGGGGGCTGTAGGGTTGTTTTCTCAGTGTAGTTAAACATTTGCTCTCCATAGGAACACGCAAATGCACGCGTTTTTGACATGCGCCGGTTGGGGACCACGTTTGGTCTCACTTGTCCTTGGCCACTCTGTAAGACGCACATCTTCTGAAAGTGATTTGTAGCGCAGCAGCCTACAAAGCGCATGCCAGTGGCGACTGTAATTTTCCCCATTCATCAGATTAGTTTCCAGTCGCCTTAGTTGTTTGTTTAGGGGAACTAACTCCAGCTGGCTTGAAGTCGCCAAATGGATGCTTTTTCATTGGCTATCTGCAATTTGCATCAAATAAAAAACACTCTTCTAGGTAGACAATGGGATATTACAACATTCGCGCTGCCATTCTATTTTTTAAAACTTTAGTTTCCAAAGCATCTGCCAGCAGTCGGGTGCCTCTCCCCGCTAGTTCAAACGTTCTAGTATTTTGGGCAGTCGGTGGAAAATGAACATCGTTCAACGACAAACAGTTGCTGACTTCAAAGCGGCATTTAACCTCCGATCGCCTTAATTTGGGGGTTTTTGGTAGCCTATTTTGTCAAATTGGTCCGAATTTCTTCTATTGACCCCACCCACATTATACATGTGGCCTTGCGCTAATTTCCTGGAAGAATAAATATTCCTGTGCCCTAACCCTAACAGCAACCCTAACCTACATCCGATGTTTTGAAAGCCAAGTTCCCTGCCTGGGATCACACCGTGACTTGTGCAAGTAGAAGTCTGGTGAAAACTAATGTGGCAGTTGATTTAGTCGCTGTGTACGCATCGCGCCCCCGGTCCACCTTTAATGCTAGTAGTCTGACCGAGTATCAGATTATTTTTCAGTCATCCCTAAGAAAGCTCATGTTGCTCACCGCAGCCGAAATTATTAGCGACAATGCTCTTGTTGTCGAGAGTGGCGTTCGGCAGCAAAAGGGTGTAGGACCCCCAACTAACTTGAGCTGGCCTGTGAACCGTGTCATACTTTAAATGCTGGTAAAGGGAGTTTTTCGGGTGGGGCAGCACACAGGCCGGGAGCAAGAAGACACAGAAAAGAGAGAAATTTCTAGGCAGAATGGTATTACCTACAAAGACAAGAGAGAGTGAAATGGCCATTTCTGGCTTGTTAGCCGTCGTCAGCCTGCTGGTTGGGCTCGAGGGAGAGCCCTAAGGTACAGCGGGACGAGTGAGTTCCATAGAAACGATCGTTGAGCGCCCCTCTACCAAGATAAATTTCTGCTGAAAGTCTCATTGTACGCTGACTTTGGGTAAATCACCGCTGGCAAGTTTACATTTAGCCAGGAAGGGAAGGAAATTTCAAACAAAGGAAACGGTGAATAATAAGTCACATTTATAGTCACACTGAATTTTAGGGTACATTTTTGGAGTTTCCGTCTGCTTGGGAGTCTTACGCCCTATCGTTACCGTGGTGTTCCCATAGGGTTCAATACTGGGACCCATTTTGTTCCTGATATACGTGGATAACTGCGCAAGAGCTTTCGACTGCGAAGCAAAATGTTTGCCGACCGCATGGAAATATGGAGTATAATCCAGGGCCCTGCCAATTAAGACAGACTGCAGATGAACCTAAATCGGTTTCCGGAGCGGTGAAACCGTTGACTCCTGCGCTTCAACGTCGGCAAGTGTGGCATACTTTGCCTGGGCAACCCAGCCAGAACCGTCAGCACAGGGAACTACTTTCTCGACGAACCTCGGCGTGCTGACAACGTACTCCCTAAAACCATCCCCTCAGTGTGGGAGCGGCAAAAGAGCAATGTCCGTACTGTCCGCCATCAAGCAGACTTTTATGGATTTTGACGAAGACGTCTTCTGCAAGACCTTCGAAACATTCACGCGACCTTACTTGGAATACGAAATACAATCCTGGTGACCATGGGCGCTTCAACATCAAAATAGTCTTGAAAGCGTCAAGAGCATAGCCACGCAAATGATTAGGGGTCAAAGCTCCCTTCCTTATGCAACCGACCTAACAAATCTGGACCTCTTCCCTTTCGGTTATAGGCAACTGCGCAGGAATTCCTCTCACCTGTCGTGATATCACTATCGGCACTAACCTTCATATGTCCCAAGATGAGCAAGAGCCATGAGAGATGGAGGTCATTTTGTCATACTCATATGGGACAATTTGAATTATTCCAACCCGCATGGGGATACCCTGTACACCACATTCAATTTTACGTTTCAAATAGGGTCCCCGAAGGCTCAGACCAATTTCCCTCTATAAACTGAACTGAAATACACCATCGGTAATTTTTTTAAATGCCACCAGGTAGAAGCAGGGGCGAAAGAATAGATGTAATCATTCTTTTTACTCATTGGGACAGAGGGCACGCAGGACAACCAGATGGGCAGTGCAAGCTTTCCTGAATTTGCTTCTCAATAATTTGCCAAACGCAGAGAGCTGGTGTTTTAATTGATTTTTTCCGGGCGCGCAACGACCGGCGGACCACCGTAAATATCGGTGCCTTTGCCCAAACTTCCAGCCAACCACTGGCACGTGTAGTGACTGCTGGTGGCTTCTGTGCATTTGTCTTTTTTAGTTAAAATGAGGGTAATATGTGGTTATGTAGACCCACTTAATGGACACAATACGGTTGGGGTTAGGGTTAGGGGTCAGGGGATAGGGTCAGGGTTATGGTTGAAGCAACTATTTCTCAACCACTCAAAGTACAACCGCGCATTCACAATGGCTTCTCTTTTGCATATAATTATTTGACCTCATCGCCTGTGCGTTCCCCGTTCCCACCTGCAAAAAACCCCTACATACCACCGGTCCTGTATTATAGGTGGCTGGGGTTCGTTTACTTCAGGTGGGGCCACATAACCACATCTGACCAAAATGTAGTATTTGACGCGGATGCTCTAGTCGTGGGCGTGATTGTTGACATCTGAAGACGCATCTCGTCGTGGTCCATGCCATTTGACCTGATGCTGTTAAGTCAGGTTTGCCTTCTGCGGCCTGGTCATCCTGGAACAGGTTTCTAAACTCGCATCCGAAAGTACCACGCTGGCGTGATACGGAGTTCTCTGTAGAAACTGAAGTGCAACTTCTTATCAGGGATGGGGCTGGTCAAAATGACTTGCATCTGTCATGCGTCGCCCGAACCTAGATATCTCCTAATGCGTCATTTTGAGTCTTTGCTTTTGTTGGCTGCTCTACACCATTCCGGCAAATAAAGTTGGTCCGATCGTTGACAGTATCAGCGTTGTTGGTCATTCATTTTCATCATTCATCATTCACCTTTTCTCCATGCTGTCTCTAGGTCTTTGCTACTTCCGGTGTTTTCCGACTTCGACCGACCTAGTTGTTAAATGTAATCACTTTGTTTTGTCATTGAACCTATTTCCTTCCGTACCTTTTAAATTGCACACAAGTTGGGGGAGGGGTGAGGGGACAACAGAGAGAAGTAATCACCGAAGTGCCGCATTTAACACGAAAAGATGCAAATCGATAGCTTCCCCTTTTGGAAATGTGCAAATTCTTTACGCCTACCTCTTGCCTGACTGCAGAAAACGTGCCTCACTTCACCCACGAAAATTCCTTTACCCTCTCTTTTTAGTGAGGAGAAGACGTTTTTTCGTATCACTCAGGCTATTTATTTTCCGAGAAGTTGCTGTAGTCAGAAAGGGAGTTTTTTTAGCATACACCCTATTCTTAGGATATTTCATTCACGCCAGAGTGCTGGCTTTCACATGCGCGTCTTTTCGGCCACCTGAAAAAATCAGTCCAAAAAGTGCCGCCTTAGTAGTAGTATCAACCTTCTCCTTCGATTTTCGATTCATTTATAAATCCAAGCAAACATTACATAAATCTGCACAGAATATTTTTCCTTGCAACTATTTTTCGTAACTTGCGCCTTTTAATTGTATGTTCGAAAAAGGGGTATCTTAAAGTATTTAAAAGTGTTATTCCCCAATGATTTTGAACTCGACCTGCCGTTACATTTGCGTTTAGTGTTTACGAACTACTATTTCCAAACTCGGCGATTAAAAAATCGTGGATTCCACTATCTTAGGAAGACGGTGTCATACAGCGCGCATAAAATTTTACAATTTATGGACCGTGGTAGGCGGACAGAAACGATGGTGTTTGAATAAACATTGCACCGTCTTGAGGACTTCTCAATTACAAACTTTTTGAAACCGAACATTACACATTTTCTCGAGTGGGAAATTTCAAGGAGACATGGTACACTGCTAAACGAGTACACCTAGGGGATGTTTTTGTGCATGCCGTTTATAATCCATGTCTGGATTTATAAAGGCATTGCAAGTTAATGGACAAATCCATGCCAACTAAACAACCATTTTCGAGTGTGCGATTTTTACAGGTCACTGAATGGACTTGAATGTACTTTTTTGTGTATGAGACCGATAACGCTCCCGTCTCTTTTTCTTCTTCAGCTTATCCATCCACCCGTGGCCAGTCCTGGACCTCGAAACTGCCCTGGTTAGGTAGGTCGTGATTGCAAGTATGCTTTCTTCCTTCTTCTCTATTCCAGCTCTTCGTATTCCTTTGATGAAACCTCTATCAGGAGACTGTTTCCGCTTGCAATTCTTAATTCCTGCGGAGGACGATACAGCACTTTCCTCCCTCGTAAACGACCATGACATTTGTAGGTCGGTGGGAGACTCAGTTATTGTTGGTGCACTTTCCCCCCAGCCGAAGAACATTCTGGAGGTGGCGACTCCATTCGAGTCCTGGCTTTGTACTCGAACTGAAAACGCCAAAGCTTGTTTGGCAACCGTAGGGGTGGTGTTTATAGGCTCCTTCTTGGTGTCTTCATTCATCACTCCGTCTCCGATCCCTAAAGTTCCGCCTGTTCGATTTGCAACGCGTTAACTCTGCCAGCTCTGCAGACACCTGCCCTCAACCGCGACAAAAAGACCACTGTAAGACCGGCTGTTCGGTCTCATTAGGAACAGGCTAAGCAGCGGCCGCAGCTGATTTGTTCTGTGTTTCGGACATGCACACAAAATTTCAAATCTCTACGTACATTCACCCGAAGAGCGTTCCACAGGTGGAGCTCTAACAGGTCTGGCCTGATTCGAACGAATTCAGATAACGCGCTCACGGCTAAGGCCCTCGCAGACGGAAGCGTGATGCAGAGTAATATGTACACGGGAAGTATTGCCCGTGGAGACGAAGGAGACTTCAGAAATCGCTTTGAGTTTGTTTGCTGTAGTCAGTCAACCATACCCAGCTCCTAAACCGCGTTTAGTTGGCCTAAAGTCCAACATTCTACTACTGGGTCTTGAACCAAAACTCAATTTAATGAAGTCTAAGTGGCGCTTATCAATCGACTTGGTTGTTGGGCCGAATATCAGTGTTTCGTTTTTTTTCCTTGAACTCAAGACTAAGCCACGTCTGTGAGGTGATGAAGGACCATTCACGGTAGCGCTTTTCTTAGAAGCGACGGAATCCCAAGTTTTCCGCTTGGGCTTTGCGTGGGAATCGACTATTCTACAAAGAGACCATAAGTCTTCATTTCGGTTTTTAATTTTCCATTTAGCTCTGAGATCTTCGCAGGCGGAACTTCAAATCATGCGACTTTTTTAGGAGGAGGAAGCGAATTTCCCGAACTCTTTTGTTGTACTCTAAGGCCTACGGTTAATCGGATTATATATCCCACTCTAAAACCTAACAGCCTTAGGATTTTATAATCGTTACCGTTGACCTTGTCTATCCAAACGACCAACATGATTAACGTATGACTTTAGGCATTTTTCGACAGTGAGATGTTATCTATAAACCCTTTTTCGTAAGTTTCACATGTCGGTGTGCGCTCACAGCAAGCTCGCCTTTTAAATCCGACAACAAGAAGTCGCGCTTGAGCCACCTTATCTCATCCCAGTATCTGTTTTCTGGGACTCGATTTGTCGACATGGCAGTGTGTGCGCTAAGACTCCCGCTCTTCCTAAACATCGTACCTGGACAGCCATCCTCTAGGGAGTTAGAATTGACTTGTATGCCTCCCTATCTGCGCTTATCCTCAATCAAAACATCACGGCGTAGCCAATCGTATTGCGCCTGCAGCCTTTAAAGCCGACTGTAGACTTCGGTTGCATCCAAACGCGTTTGGACTGGGAGATTTCGATTTACCATCTCTGTCGCCGCTAAGCATGTAGCTAGTTGTTTGGTCCTTTGTTAAAACACACCACTAGGTGTCACGGAGCCCCGACTTTAACTTCCTTATAATAGAAGGTGGAAGTCGTTCGTGTACTGAAAGTCTTCGTAGGTCATACGTTACTCCGAAGATTTCCTGCATTTGCTGGGGATTTTGATTCATTCAGTTTCTGAGCGAGGAGATTTTCGCTAGTCAACAGGATTGTCTTCGAAAACACATATATAGTTAGAAGATAGTAGGTTCTTTGGAAGCAGTAAGAACTTTATTAGTAAGTTCCCGATGTCTGTTCCCTCGGTCGTCGTCAGACTTGAGTAAATGTACAAAAACAGTCAAAATTTCTAACGTGCCCAGAAAATCAATACCACTTCTTTCAGTATATATATATATATATATGGGCAGAATGCTGTTACCTACAAAGACAATGGAGCCTGGAATGGCCATTTCTGGCTTATTAGCCGTCATCAGCCAGCCATACCCAAGCCCGAAGTGTGGAACACCCGAACCCCAAGGCACAAGAGAACAAGCATGTTCTGTAACCTGATCGCTGAGCGCCCATCTGTCATAATTGATGTTCCCGATCATAACCGACAGGACAACGGGCCCGTGGCTTAATGGTAGAGCGTCAAACTCCATGAACAAAGATCCCGAGTTCGAATCTCAAGTAATCTACACTTGGGGTTGGGTATGACTGGCTGATGACGGCTAATAAGCCAGAAATGGCCATTCCGGTCTCCCTTGTCTTTTTCGGTATCATCTCATATCTATATATATCCACACCCGTCGCAGAACAATGGGTCCAACCGAAAGACGTTGCCCACGTGCGTTTTGCTGTGTATTAAGCATTTAATGGCAAAACAAAGTAATGACTGCTCCAGTAAAACACTCGTACCAGAGAGCGTTTAGTGTGTAAAAGCGGTCACAATAACTGTCGCCTCTCTTGTAGCGGACGACGAATTTCCTTCAGTCAGACGGCCCTGCGTGCCGAGGGTTAGTAATAATGACTGCTATTTCCTGGATATGCTTCCCTGAACTGCTCAGCCTATTCAAGTGCAACTCTCATTATTGAAAACGAGCCTATTTTCATGTAGTTTGTTCGTATCGAACGACTAGCGGGGAACTGTTGGAGCCTCCACGAGACTAAAGGAGTCCAAAAGTGATCGATCAGGCCTCAAACGCCCAATCTACCAATGGAGTTGACCACTTTAGTTGTGTGCATTTTCTTCTCATTTATTTTTTGGTGCCTATTTAAATTTAACCAAACGTCGCAAAAATTACGTGCAAGAATAATTTTTATACTACACTTGTAAGAATTTTGGCTCAAAATGGGCTTATTTGAAGTGAGGGTGTTTTGGGCCCTAGCCTTTTTGTCGGCGCCTTCATTATTTGGGATCCGACCTGCTTTTGAACTTGCGTCTGGAGTTCCCAGAGCGGTAACGTACACAGGATGTAAATCGCCGGACTAGAGATCACCAGAGCAAGACCATATTTGTCGTATGATCTAGTTTTTTGGACGATTCAGGTTTTCCGTCCATATTTAGGTCGAGACGTAGTAGGGAGATTCGAGAAGGCCAATATATCCTGCAGTGTATACTTGCTTTAACTTTACGCTGGAAGGACATGAGCATTCATCTACTTCCAAATTGTTTTATGATGCATGTCTACTACTAAATCCCGACTCATTACACTGAAATTCCTCTCATGTTTCGCTTAGGAAACAACCTTAAAACTTAATGTTATCAATAAATAAAAGTTGCTATCATCCTCCCGAAAAGTGACTTAATGCTAGCCTTTTTTAGCCCCCGGCTCAACTTTCATATCGGAGCGTTAACTCTATCCGACTTGAGTGTATGGAGTAAACCGTGTCATTACTGTGTACTGACAACGTTTTCCCATGACGTCATCAAAACATTGCCTTGCGAGCAAACTAATTACAGTCAATAAATTGCCTAAAAGCGCTCTCTTCTTCCCCTCCGCAACCATGGCCTAGATTTTGTGCTTTGCTTCTGTCACATACTCAGTGTTCTTGAGTGTTAACGCATGCCGCATAATTCCTCCTCAGTGGCTGCCTTCGTTCCAGTAGTTCTTCTCTGCGCTCTGGTACGCATATGTTCGCAGCGTCGCCAGTTAGACTTCGCTGACGAGGTCCAGCCAGACCAGAATGGAGCCGATGGGCAACCGGGAGGAGCCTGCGGAGGTACACCAATAGCGCAACTTCGTCCCCTTGGTCCACGCTACAAGATGACACCTACAAAGCGTGGGCTACTCTGGGCAGCCGGACTGCGACGAACCCGTTCTTCCGGTCAGTTAGGATGCGGAACCCCAGACGACTACCCGAAGGCCTTCCAACTCCAACCGAAGCGTTCAGTGCAGCACCTGTGTGGTGGGGAGGACCTTCGTTCCTCAAAACTCAAAATAGAAGAGGCCGACGAGGAGACTGAAGCAGCCGCGGGTGGAGGTAGTCAGCAAGAGATGGAGGAATTTGGTCTGCCAACCCCAGCTGCCACACCCATCCGTGGTCTACAGGATTGCAGTCGTCCAAAGTGCTGCAATCTCCAGATTGACATGCGACAGCCCTGTGAGGCTGATCTCCTCCTCAGCGCTTCTCCACGTAAGGCCAGAGTGACGACGAGGCAGAAGCCGGCTGGTCATCCGACGGGTCGACTTAACAGTGATCCCCAGACCCGCGAGCATTTTCGCCTTCCTAGCAGCCTAATGATGTCCTGCTGGTCTGAGATGTCACCCTCTTCCTCCAGTAGCGGCAGTGCTTTGCCAACGCCGGCCCCCTTGACTGCACCTCCTGGCATTGACGAATGCTGTCTACGTAGTGAAGCCGATCCCGAGGTTTTCTTTCCCTACCGTTTCAATGGACAGGCGGAGAGGGAGGACGAGGAGGAGGATTCGTGTGCTGTCTGTCGTCAGATGCGCGAATCCGGCTGTCTACCAAACGAGGTAAGAATATATTGTTACAATATATGACCTACTTAATCTTATTAGTAGATAGTATATTCCCGAATTAATGCTAATCTTTCAGGCCGACGGCGACACATCCAAGTCAAGCCCACTTGAACAGACTCCCTCGACGAGCTCCACCAGTGATGTGAGCAGTTGTGGTAATGGTCAGTCAAGCTCTCCCCGTGCATTCCCGACGCAGACCACCAGTGTCACTGAATGTCGCGCCTCTGTTCACGGCGAGGAACGGGAGAAAGTTAGGGATCAAGCCTCTTCACCGGTTACCATGCAAGGCGATGAAAACTGTTCAAGCATTTGCTCCGACCCCCTGTTGCAAATACAGCCCAACGCTGCCGCCGCACAGTCTCAGCTCTCTCTCACAAGTTCGATCGCCATGCCTGTAAGATGACCTGTCAACGTGGCTCCTTATTCTTCTTGCCTGCCTGTTGATCGTTCTCCTCATGCCATCTTTCGTATGATTATGTTTTCACCTTCTGGACTGCAATTTGGCTCGATAACCTTTTTGTCATGGGTCTCCGTATGAGGTTTTTAAGTCCGGACTGCGAGAAATAGGGAAAATCAGTACTTTACGAAAGGTTGCATGCTTCTCCAATGCAGCCGTCCTGGAGCGTTTTGGTGGCTTTACAGTACTCAGTTTGCCCTCGCTCAAGTTACCACTGCAGTCACACCTCGTTTACTTAAGTTTTCAATGTCCTCTAGGAAAAACGCCAGAACTAGCTGAGTTTTCGTCGTATTTTGCTGTTGTTTTAGGCGGAAACGGTGGAGTCAAATGGGCAATGAGGCTGATCGCATACATATGCACTAACATTGTTCAGCGAGCAAATAGTCTGCGCTTGAGCACAAACTGCTTCCCAATGTATCCGCATCACCACTTACATGAGTATTCGCATTCTTTTCCCGAGTCGCCTACGAAACTGCCGAGAGCGAACAGGCCGCCTTCATTGCATTTTCCTCCTACCATGTCAGGAATTCTGACACCCAGAGAAACAAAACGTGTATTTTTGCAGAGACGGATTACCCCCTTCCTGTTTGTGCATTCGTTTTGGTTACCAGCAAAACCGCCATGACCTCGCCTCTTATTTCCGGTTCTGTCTCTCTACACCCCTCCACGTCTCGTCCATCCCTCCTTCAGTTTGACTCTGCCGACTCAGACGGGTTTGACTACCGTATTTACTCCGTTTCTCGGTTCAGTTCTTCTCTGTAATTTTGCTCTTTAATTTGCAGTTGAGTTCTCTTAGCTTACGGGCTGTTTGTTCGATGCACAATCCTCTTTTGTATATACGATGCTAAGTCCATCCTGTCCTTTTCAATGCATGTTCACATCTTTCCTTGTGCGGCGGGACTGTGAAATCGATAAATCGATATTGGACACTGACGACCATATCGCACGAAACGGCACAGTTTAAGACAGTTCTAGAAACCACTGCCGACGTAAATGGGTCCTGACAACAGTCAATAACACAGGCTGCTTGATTCCGAGGCCCATGTCTGTCTACGTTTTGGGGAACGATCGGTGAAGGACCCCAAACACACGCCACCAGCCAATGGTGCCTGTGCTACGAGGAAGGTGGTGATAGGGCTTTTGCGGGCGGGGTCTATGTATGCATAGAGGAATGGCAAAATCAGTATAGATAACTGGTAAATTCGTTTTTCATGGGGAAAAGTTCCAATGCATTGACATGTAGCGACCGAAATTAAGCAGGACAATTAAAAATCAACGTAAAGTGTCTACAACGATCGCTTCAAAACTCTGAGCTAAGGTCATTGTAGATAATACACCAGACCGTCTACAACAAACGGCCCAATCTTGTACAATGAAACACCAAACCGATGTAATCGTGTCGGACTAAAACCAACTTAAATGAGTACAGTAGGTGGGCTAACTCATGAAATGTCAGCCGAAAATCCTAAATGCGTTTTCGTTTCGAAAAGATTAATTAAGTAGGGTTGTAAAACTAGTCAGCCTGCAACATAATTCTATAATATTTCAGTCACCTCAGGATGCCGGCTTTCGAACGAACTTCCTTCCGGCTGCATGCGAAAACTACACTGCAAAAAATGACTACTTAAGTAGCATGCATTTTTTCGTCGATTTTCGATTTCCATAAAAGCCCAATTATATGTCATGGAAAACATGCATAAAAAATTTATTCTTTCGCTCATTCCGTAGAAAATCACGTCTTCTAATTTTGTACTCGAAAGAGGGATATATTTCGGCTTTAAAAAGCTAATTATGGGAATTTTAAATACCGTGAAATAGCCGTTCATAAATCATGTCTCTGCATTTACCAACGTGGCTTGTAAAGTTAACAATATGGATCAAATCCACTGCTAAATTTTATGAACCCTATATGGTCCCCTTTATTACCGGGGAAAAATATGTGGTTTTCCGTACGCGGAAAATGTACGGCTTATAGTTTAGACGCCCTGAATCCAAGTGTGACGGTTGAGCGGGTTCAACATTATTCGGGAATTAGAAAAGTTCTTAAAAACCGAAGTATACACTTCCTTCGAGTATAAGATTTGAAGAAGACGTAATTGTCTACCGAAAGAGCAAAAGAATGAATATTTCCATGCATGTTTTCCATGAAATATAATTGAACTTTTAGGGGGATCGAAAGTCAAAGAGAAAATTTCGTGCTAATTAAGTAGTCATTTTTACAGAGTGTAATTTTTGCATGCATGTAATTGATGGAGTGGTCTACGTCAGAAACCACAGCTGCCCGCAAATTGTTGAAACGCCGTCTCCGATGACGGAGTGACCGGCTTCGTAATCACCGCAACTGATGATTTACTACCGTTGTGCGGGTGGTCTTAGTTTACAGTCCTCATTATAGAGGTACGGCCAGTCGCTCCCGTAAACAATAGAGCTCTTCCGCCTAGATCGCCTCCATCTTACTTCGGTGGCCGATTCAGCAACTCTTGAGTGGGGGCGTTCCACAGGCTTCAACCATGGAATGCACCCATGCCCTGCTTTATTGCTGAACGGTCGTCAAGAGTGCCAGTTGCATTCAGTGCAGTCCAACAGTTGGCCCCATGGTTTTTGAGCGTCTGCTATGCCATGACCAGCAAACCACGCCACTCACAGCCTGGTGTGGATGCTGGCAGTTCTCCGGTACCTGGTTCTCTTGCGGTAGATGCGCCTGCCCTCCCGCTGAGTATACCGATCGTATGAATGGCTGATCAGTAATCCACATCTTGTGTTGTTTGTTGGTCAAAATCCTGGTCAAGTGTTTGTTGTGGACCAGCGGGTGTGGAGTGGAGCGCCCAGGTGCGGGTTCGGCCCTGCTATCCACCTGAGCCCTCCTCGTCCCCCGGGCTTCTTGACTCTGTCGTGACACCGGGCTCAGGTGGATAAGGAGGAGAGATGGCGGTAGATGCTGCGCAAGTCTACTGGCACTGTAAACTAATTTGCGCGCAAGTCACCGTACCTGCCCTCACCCTATTGTGGAGCACACGGTGGACATCATCGGATGTGACGGTCGAACAAGCAGTGGGACACTTCTCAGCCTCGATAATGACGGCCGACTTCATTCCACCGCTGTCCTACCTGCCTGTCGACAGTCGCTTTTGTAGGCTTGTCGACCAAGCTCAAGTGGTCTCCAATCGGTGTGTGTTGTATTTGCCGAGGGGTGAAGTCCCCGGGGCTTGTTTTGCTGGTTGCAGGGGGTGGTGTGCGTTCAAGTGGCGGTATAGGCAGTTGCGGCTGTGCGGACGCTGGTATGCCCGAGCTGCCGGTCGTGTGAGCGCGTCTGGAACGGCTCACTGCAATAGGTTGGATGACCTTGAGGCAGCGAGGCCTTGAACAATGACGCCAGACCGGTCATGATGGCTGCCCACCGCATGTGCACTAGATCGCACGCCCAGTAGTAAACATGCAATAGGCGAAATGGACTGGAATCGGAGAGCAAAATGGTGGGGATGAGTCTTGTTTTGAAGTGCTGAAAGGATTCCGTTCTGGACCGCCGTTATTATTTGATCTGCTAAGCCCATAAACTTCATGTTGCAAGTCACACGTTCCTCTCAAGCAAGAGATGTTTCCTGAAATATATCAGCACCACCAAAGCAGTGCCTCAGTTGCGAATCTGTATGACCGTTAAATATCAACGCACGTATCAAACCAAAGACCAGAAGATCCAGCTTCTGTCGACTGGTAGACTCCCAGGTGGCGCAAAATTCCTGACCAGATGGATGCAGTATGTCTGCTAAGTCTTTGTAAAGCATACGTCCAGTTTGCCTCTTTCTGTGATATAGCCAATCTCATAACCATTTGAGTGTATGTGACAACAGGTGCTGTTTTAGATATTAAATTGGGCTCTAGAGAGAGCCCGTAAGACAACGAAAGGAGTGGGCTCGGTAAGAAGGATCGGTGAGCGCCCCTATACCACTGTACATTCCCGATCGAAACTGACAGGACAACGAGCACGTGACTCAGTGGTTAGAGGCGTTGACTTCTAACTAACAGGTCACAGGATCAAAACCCAGGTGTTCCACACTTCGGAGTTGGGTATGACTGACTGACGACGGCAAATAGGCTAGAAATGGCCCTTGCAGTCTCCCTTGTCATTGTCGATAATAACATTCTGATTAAATTTTTCCTCTTGCACTCACCGTCCACAAAAAAGTAGGGAAGGTGGCGAAGTATGAGACATCCTGTCCACAACTCACACACTTATTCTCCGTTTATTTTTAGTAGCCTGGTGTTGCGTCATCTGAGAAATGCGTTTGCTAATTTAACTCTTCATGAAATTAAATGACCGAGATTCAGATGCCTAGTAGTAGTTTCCCATGAATCTGATAATTTTATTTATTAGCATAATCCAAAACTTGGGAAAATCTTGTCTCATTCTTGGATATTTCTGAACTATGTCACTCATGATAAATAGCAAATGTTCAACCAGGAAGGGGTATTTCTAAGCACTCAGACGATTTCTTAGAACAGGGAGTTATCTGAATCGAGGTAACACGATCGTGCTTGTACTCTTGTGAATGAACATTATTCCAAGTGGGGGAATTCAGTACGTCAATATTGTTTGTTTGTTACTCATTTGCATAAATCAGGAGACTCGGACGAGTACAGCGAGTGTTCTGGTGGCCGTACGCTCTTCAAAGAGTACGCATTAACTAAGTTTCCACCTGCGCTTTCGTTCAGACGAACGGTTGAGTCAGTAACAGATTGCGATATGCATAAACTGTGAGAAAATACTGCTTGTTTTCCGCGGTGCCAGACCACAGATCCAGTCATTTTGATGCCGTCTGGTCACTCCATGGAAACTTGGTTAAAAGTGGAGAAAGATTCTGCACAATCCTTCCTCTGCGGGATTGAGATCGATCAAGAGCCTTCTTTAGCACTTCAGGAGATCCGAATTTAGGTCTCAAAACTGGTAATTTTGACCTCGGCCGTTTCAAAATTGCATATCCACCAGACTCCAGTGAGATATAAGAGTAACACAAAGTCGCTGTTACAAGAACATCTCCTGCCACAATCCAGCAGGCGCACAATTCTGAATTTCAGGAGTCCACGTAGCTGTTTCCTTTCAAGCAGACTATGGAATAAAATATTGTGTCTTCGCCGTAATATGCCCCTTTCTAGATTCTGTTTCTCACACACAGGGGGCGCGGGTAATTTAGTCTAGATGATTAAAAGCTTCACTTAAAGTCACTCCGAACACATGATAGAAAAGCGGTCAGACAGGACTATGTAGCCGCACCTGAAGAAAATATACCCCAGCCACCTGTAATACGGAACCGGTGGTAATAGGGGTTTTTACAGGTGGGGC